CCAGTTTCAAGTAGCCTTGAATAGTATTGACGTATATGCAGGGATGATAATGGATATTTTCCTTTTCAGATGAAACTTCATTGCAATGGAGCGGGGTCCATAATTTGAGGGTGTTTATGGGGGAAGCTATAAGATTTTAACGAATTTGTAGTCACTAAAATTTGCGGGTCCGCGGAAGATTCTCCCCCCTGTATATGATGGAATGTCAGCTTAATGGAAGATGAAAGCCCAAAGTGTGACAGGTACTAGACATTCCTCACTTGAAACCCACAAACAGTCCATGGTATTGTGCTGACAAGCCAAGCAACACAGTTTCTCTGATCTGTAAACTCCTATCATCATCTGGTCTCCAAATCCATGTTCTCAGAACCCTCGGCTCATCTATACAGTGGTTCCAGATCATAAACAGATCTTAGCACTTCAACCATAAATGACAATGTGAGTGCTAAGGGCATCCCATTCTCGTCACCATTTCATCCATGAGTAGACCGTGTATTGTATCTCCATGAGTAGACCGTGTATTGTATCTCCATGAGTAGACCGTGTATTGTATCTCCATGAGTAGACCGTGTATTGTATCTCCATGAGTAGACCGTGTATTGTATCTCCATGAGTAGACCGTGTATTGTATCTCCATGAGTAGACCGTGTATTGTATCTCCACGAGTAGACCGTGTATTGTATCTCCATGAGTAGACCGTGTATTGTATCTCCATGAGTAGACCGTGTATTGTATCTCCACGAGTAGACCGTATATTGCATCTCCATGAGTAGACCGTGTATTGTATCTCTGAGTAGACCGTGTATTGTATCTCCATTCCATTTGGATACATATCCGGGACCCATTCACAATAGCTTCGTTGCCGAAACTGTTCTTTCACCTTCTCAATTACACCACCACCACCATACTTTTCGAGACAGACTTTCCATGCACAATGTTGCAAGGGAGACAAAGTATTCATTTCCGAAAACATTCAAAAGTACATGCTCCAGAAAATTCACACTGGTCACCAAGGGGTCGAGAGTTATATCCGACAGACTAGAGAAGTAATGTACTGGCCATGTGTGCAGTTAGCGATCACAGACTTGTGCTTCAATATGCAGTGTGTGTCAGCTATGGAGCATCACTTCCCAAGGAGCCCATGCTATTGCACTGTTTCAGATGGGCTATGGCCACTGGTGTCACAGGACCTATTCAAACATAGAAGGTTCTGGTACAGTGTGGCAGTTGATGGTTGATGATTGGTTTGAGGTTGACTTGCTAGCTCAAGATACAACGCCAGAATATGTCATATCAGTTACAAAAGCACATTTTGTGTGCAATGGGATGAGTTTTTGACAGACAATGGGCCACAGTATATGGCCATGGAATTTAAGAGATAGGCCACTGAATATGACTTCAGTCAAGTGACACGCTCACCATATCATGGAGCTTAGAAACACTCCAGCACAAGGACAGACATTCTCACCAGTACACAAGTTTCTGTGCCAGCGCACCAGGCCACGTCTGCCCACGTCATGGGCTTTAGTAGCACAAGAAGTGCCACCAGTGACAGCTGTAACAGGAACTAATGAACAACAGAGACAAATCTAAGGCTCAGGACCAGAAGACAGCTCAAAAGCCAGATGAAAAGGTGTACTCAAAACCAAATCCCCCACACCGCAGTGACACATGGAGCTAGGGCACAGTGATAAGGTAAAGGACACCTCGCTCATATGTGGTGCAAACCTCTGGCGGGACATACGAAGAAACCGCACACAGACAAGACATGGTCCTTTATAACCTGAGGCAGAGACGGTTGAGAATCCCCAAAGTGAACACACCATGAGTGAAGACGTATAGAAAACAGATTCCCCTGACGGGCTGCTGACTCCAGGTACCCATTCAGAGCATCATCATCAACTAGGACATCAACTGGGACATCAACTGGGACATCAACGGTCAATTGCTCTCAGTGGAGCCCTGCAGTTTGGTACACTAATTATGCCAGCTACACAAAGAGTGAAGTCGTCGACAATTCGGAGCCAAAATTGTCTCAATCGGACCGTCATCAAACCTCGAGTGAAAACAGACATGTGAAAAACGTCAAGTAGAAGCCAGAAAGTGTTGACTTTTTGACAGTTCCAGCTACTAGAGGAGAGTACAGACTGGGCCACCCGTGCCCCCTAAAACGATACAGACTGGGCCACCTGTGCCCCCTAGGATGATACAGACTGGGCCACCCGTGCCCCCTAGGATGATACAGACTGGGCCACCCGTGCCCCCTAAAACGATACAGACCGGGCCACCCGTGCCCCCTAAAACGATACAGACTGGGCCACCCGTGCCCCCTAGGATGATACAGACTGGGCCACCCTTGCCCCCTAGGATGATACAGACTGGGCCACCTGTGCCCCCTAGCATGATACAGACTGGGCCACGCTTGCCCCCTAAAACGATACAGACTGGGCCACCCGTGCCCCCTAGGATGATACAGACTGGGCCACCCTTGCCCCCTAGGATGATACAGACTGGGCCACCCGTGCCCCCTAGGATGATACAGACTGGGCCACCCTTGCCCCCTAGGATGATACAGACTGGGCCACCTGTGCCCCCTAGCATGATACAGACTGGGCCACCCTTGCCCCCTAGGATGATACAGACTGGGCCACCCGTGCCCCCTAGGATGATACAGACTGGGCCACCCGTGCCCCCTAGGATGATACAGACTGGGCCACCTGTGCCCCCTAGCATGATACAGACTGGGCCACCCTTGCCCCCTAAAACGATACAGACTGGGCCACCCATGCCCCCTAGGATGATACAGACTGGGCCACCCGTGCCCCCTAGGATGATACAGACTGGGCCACCTGTGCCCCCTAAAACGATACAGACTGGGCCACCCGTGCCCCCTAGGATGATACAGACTGGGCCACCCGTGCCCCCTAGGATGATACAGACTGGGCCACCCATGCCCCCTAAAACGATACAGACTGGGCCACCCGTGCCCCCTTCAAATTTTTAAAGGAAATCACACAACAGAAGTAGCTATAAAACTCTCCTGATGATGCATGACATACTGGAACTAGATCCATCACTGACTTAGAATACCATGGAATTGGGATTCGGAACTTTGTATTTCTATGTCAGGTACACACCAACATGAACAGTCAAAGTCAAACTTGTTGCCAGGGAAACGGAAAAAATATAAATTCTAACAATCCCTAAATAGCAAAAGGCACCAGATGACGAACTGGTCACATGTATGCATAGTTTCAAGGAAGATTACCTATTAGTTTTAAACATGTAGTCAAAGTCAAACTTCTTGCCATGGAAACAGGGAAAAAAGTATCTAAATTCCTAACTAGCAAAAGGCTCCACTTCAACCCATCAATAATACATGTTCCAAGTTTGATTCAATACTGTTAAACAGATTTTTAGTTCTGCTCCAAAAATGACACCTACCTCCATTTCAGCAAAGTCTAACTTGTGTCCATGGATACATGGAAAAATGAAATTTTGAAACATTCCTAAAAAAGCATGGTTAATACATGTACCAATTTTGGATGATATATTTTTCATGGTTTTCAAGTTACGCTTGAAATTAGCAACGAAATACGGACGGACGGACATGCAGATGATGATAATGCCAGGAGATAAAAACTTTGACTTTAACAAAAGAAAACCCACACAGAACACAAATATTCCTTTGATGTTCGCCTTTTGTGCTGTAGATACCATGTGGGTCAGTTACGATAGTATGCCTAAATACCCACAATATTGTGCAGCCTTATATTATTAGTTACATTTGGAACTGGCAGATATATTTCGTTTTGGACACAGAAATCAGATATACTTGACTAAATGCTTCACTGGCTTGTACCATGTATTTAGAAGCTTCTTTTGGCTGATGTGAAAGTTCACCTGATGATCTCACCCTATGGATGAGATTGCAGATCTTACCGGCCTCATGGTTTAGATTTACCCATAGAGCCATTTGTGGCTTCCCCATCTTTTTTCTTAGGAGACTTTTACAAATGCTAGTAGCCAAGAAAAAATGTTGGTTGCCAAAATATGCTACTGTCATCATGAACTACATGATCCATATATTATTATTGCTTGTAAAATATTTGATTGAATCCCCAAATTCAAATCAAATCCAATCTTGTCATGTTCTGAAGTCTGTGATTTTGTCAAATTTTAACCAATCATAGCTTATAGCTTAGAAGCCATTGTTTTATTTTCTTGATTTTATTTGTCAGACTTTCAATTAGACATTGTATTGTTTTTTACCTCTTTGGGAGTCGCTATGGTTACTACACAATCAACAACCGAATCACTTGGATCACCAGACGTGAGAAAACCTGATATATTTTAAAATAGCAGTTCATGTTACAACGTTCGTCTCGGCTACTAAATGAAATATATCAATAACAGAATAAATGACAGATTACAAAACACCAAGAAAAAAAAATCTAGATCATCTGGTATCAGTCGGTCACCAACAGCAAGGTGTTGCAAATCAATACCTGACAGCTGTGTTTGGAAATTTCTTGTTTTTCAATTATGCATACAACTATATTGTGTAACAATAACCCAGACTGCACTAACATGTTTCTTTTTATCTCCCAACATTGTCAAAAACAGCATATATATACACACATGCCAAATTAACCATTTACTTATGTAACTTATGTAATATTTTCAGTCACATTCCCTAATTTCTAGCCACCATGGCAACCAGTGTTCAATTTCCTGTCACCATGGCAACCAGTGTTCAATTTCTTGTCACCATGGCAACTAGTGTTCCAGTTCTTGCCACCATGGCAACCAGTGTTCAATTTCTTGTCACCATGGCAACCAGTGTTCAATTTCTTGTCACCATGGCAACCTGTGTTCAAGTTCTTGTCACCACATGAAAACTCAGGTCCCACAACTAGTTGGTTTTGAACAACAGGACAGTTTGTTGAGAGGTATCATATAAAACAAATAGCAAATTAATAGTAATTGTTTCCACGACCTTGGTAATCCATCCAACACCATCACACTCAAACATGACAGTGAAGAGGCAGACTGCGGAAGATCTATAATCCTAGAGACTTTCAGATGCTATTCATAAACAATACAGACTGGAACATCATGGCATATGGCCTGTGTTCAATTAAATATTATTTGGAACACAATGGCATATGGCCTGTGTTCAATTAAATATTATTTGAACACAATGGCAAATGGCCTGTGTTCAATTAAATATTCTTTGGAACACAATGGCATATGGCCTGTGTTCAATTAAATATTATTTGGAAAACAATGGCATATGGCCTGTGTTCAATTAAAGATTATTTGGAACACAATGGCATATGGCCTGTGTTCAAATTAAATAATCTTTGGAACACAATGGCATATGGCCTGTGTTCAATTAAATATTATTTGGAACACAATGGCACATGGCCTGTGTTCAATTAAATAATCTTTGGAACACAATGGCATATGGCTTGTGTTCAATTAAAAAATCTTTGGAACACAATGGCATATGGCCTGTGTTCAATTAAATATTATTTGGAACACAATGGCACATGAAGCCATAAGCACATATTCATTTCCCTGCTGTATGAACCAAACTCTACTTTGGCACTGCTAATATTCTGTACACACAGTTTGCTCTACAGAAGTAAAACATCTTGCCCACAGGCTAATTGCCTAAAAGCAATATTCAAAATATAGCTGTGGTTATCAAACTCCCGTCGCCACTTGGAATGATTATGACTCTCATCAGCAGCTGAGTGTATCACCTTGCTGACAACCCCTCACCACTCGGCCTCTGCCAAAACTTAAAGGATTTTATGAACACTTCAATCAATATGCAATATTAATATTATATGGCAGCAGACCTATGTAATGCACACATCTGGAAGAAAAAAAAATAGAGGGGAGATGGGGGATGTGTGTTTTTAAGACACCCTCCACAAACCACATTTGCTATCATCATATCTAAACATCTCTTACTCCCCCCCACCCATGCAACAGAGAGCATTTGTTATCATGAGATCACATTAATTATTCAAACCTCAATTTTAGTCATGACCATAACCTAAGTTGTGTGTTGTTTCAAAACCCTTCCCCTTAATTGTTCACGTTATGGACCACTCCCATGTGTCTAACAATGGACTCTTCCAACGTTTCCTTACACCTGGACATGTATGTAAGTTCCATGGTTATATAGCCTATGTCATTGTGGAACACATTTCAACAGTAACACCTAAAAACATTTTCTTAGATCACCAATATTTTTCATACTTTAGTCTCATTGTAATCCCAGTTCAGCAATGAATTACAGTCACCAGGCACTACGATGAAAATATACCCTAACAATCATGGTTCTTTGGCTCAATCAGATATCATCCACTGTGTTCGTATCCAGGATGTGTAGACGACTGATGAGAACTCTGGGTGAACAGGCCTCACAGCTCATCGTGGAAGTCCTCCGGGTCGGTGACCAGGTCCTCGTCCTCCCCTTCCCCCGCTCCCAACAGCTGCTGCACCTCCGCGATGTACGTCTGGGCGTCCCACCATGCCTGAAACACATACACAGGCTCTAGACACACGATCATACACTCCTGTCTGGGCGTCCAACCATGCCTGAAACACATACACAGGCTCTGGACACACGATCATACACTCCTGTCTGGGCATCCAACCATGCCTGAAACACATACACAGGCTCTGGACACACGATCATACACTCCTGTCTGGGCATCCCACCATGCCTGAAACACAAACACAGGCTCTGGACACACGATCATACACTCCTGTCTGGGCATCCCACCATGCCTGAAACACATACACAGGCTCTGGACACACGATCATACACTCCTGTCTGGGTGTCCCACCATGAATGAAACACACACAGTCTCAGGACACACGATCATACACTCCTGTCTGGGCATCCCACCATGCCTGAAACACATACACAGGCTCTGGACACACGATCATACACTCCTGTCTGGGCATCCCACCATGAATGAAACACACACAGTCTCAGGACACACGATCATACACTCCTGTCTGGGCATCCCACCATGCCTGAAACACATACACAGTCTCAGGACACACGATCATACACTCCTGTCTGGGCATCCCACCATGCCTGAAACACATACAGTCTCAGGACACACGATCATACACTCCTGTCTGGGTGTCCCACCATGAATGAAACACACACAGTCTCAGGACACACGATCATACACTCCTGTCTGGGCATCCCACCATGCCTGAAACACAAACACAGGCTCTGGACACACGATCATACACTCCTGTCTGGGCATCCCACCATGCCTGAAACACAAACACAGGCTCTGGACACACGATCATACACTCCTGTCTGGGCATCCCACCATGCCTGAAACACAAACACAGGCTCTGGACACACGATCATACACTCCTGTCTGGGCATCCCACCATGCCTGAAACACATACACAGGCTCTGGACACACGATCATACACTCCTGTCTGGGTGTCCCACCATGAATGAAACACACACAGTCTCAGGACACACGATCATACACTCCTGTCTGGGCATCCAACCATGCCTGAAACACATACACAGGCTCTGGACACACGATCATACACTCCTGTCTGGGCATCCCACCATGAATGAAACACACACAGTCTCAGGACACACGATCATACACTCCTGTCTGGGCATCCCACCATGCCTGAAACACATACACAGTCTCAGGACACACGATCATACACTCCTGTCTGGGCATCCCACCATGCCTGAAACACATACAGTCTCAGGACACACGATCATACACTCCTGTCTGGGTGTCCCACCATGAATGAAACACACACAGTCTCAGGACACACGATCATACACTCCTGTCTGGGCATCCCACCATGCCTGAAACACAAACACAGGCTCTGGACACACGATCATACACTCCTGTCTGGGCATCCCACCATGCCTGAAACACAAACACAGGCTCTGGACACACGATCATACACTCCTGTCTGGGCATCCCACCATGCCTGAAACACAAACACAGGCTCTGGACACACGATCATACACTCCTGTCTGGGCATCCCACCATGCCTGAAACACATACACAGGCTCTGGACACACGATCATACACTCCTGTCTGGGTGTCCCACCATGAATGAAACACACACAGTCTCAGGACACACGATCATACACTCCTGTCTGGGCATCCCACCATGCCTGAAACACATACACAGGCTCTGGACACACGATCATACACTCCTGTCTGGGTGTCCCACCATGAATGAAACACACACAGTCTCAGGACACACGATCATACACTCCTGTCTGGGCATCCCACCATGCCTGAAACACATACACAGTCTCAGGACACACGATCATACACTCCTGTCTGGGCATCCCACCATGCCTGAAACACATACAGTCTCAGGACACACGATCATACACTCCTGTCTGGGTGTCCCACCATGAATGAAACACACACAGTCTCAGGACACACGATCATACACTCCTGTCTGGGCATCCCACCATGCCTGAAACACATACACAGTCTCAGGACACACGATCATACACTCCTGTCTGGGCATCCCACCATGCCTGAAACACACACAGTCTCAGGACACACGATCATACACTCCTGTCTGGGTGTCCCACCATGAATGAAACACACACAGTCTCAGGACACACGATCATACACTCCTGTCTGGGTGTCCCACCATGAATGAAACACACACAGGCTCTGGACACACGATCATACACTCCTGTCTGGGCGTCCCCCCATGACTGACACACACACACAGTCTCTGGACACACGATCATACACTCCTGTCTGGGCATCCCACCATGCCTGAAACACGAACACAGTCTCAGGACACACAATCATACACTCCTGTCTGGGCGTCCCACCATGACTGACACACACACACAGTCTCTGGACACACGATCATACACTCCTGTCTGGGCGTCCCACCATGAATGAAACACATACACAGTCTCAGGACACATGATCATACACTCCTGTCTGGGCGTCCCCCCATGACTGACACACACACACAGTCTCTGGACACACGATCATACACTCCTGTCTGGGCGTCCCACCATGAATGAAACACACACAGTCTCAGGACACACAATCATACACTCCTGTCTGGCGTCCAGTAATGGCTGTTAAATCCATTGCTGTCAAAGGGAGTGAGTGAGTGAGAAAGGGAGTGAGTGAGTGAGTGAGTGAATGAGTGAGTTTGGTATTTCAGTCCCATCACAGCATGTCAACTTGATGTTTACTTGCTTTGAGTTACATTGCCAGAATTTAGTCCCCCTTAAATAATCCAACATTTTGATGTGTCTTTGAAGTTCCTAATCAAATGAATGTTGCACAAAGGCACAAGAGTCTGATTCAAAATGTCCAAGAAATTTAATTTCATCAAAGTCACCTGAACAATGGCAGATTGAGCCATCACATCACTCAGACTGATCTAATTTAATTCTCATTATGGCTCTGAGAGCCACTGGACATTCACTAAATCAGGTCACAACTCTACTTATCGATATCTGCTCATACTCGAACTTGGCTTAAATGCACACACGAGGACACGGACACAATTAGTCATTACAATGTTCACAAATTGGTCAAGAGCAACAGTTCAGACAAGAAGTGAGTGAATGCTGTTTTATGCTGCAGCCTGTAATATAAATATATCATAAACATAGCCTGGTGTCTTGTACTTAATGGTTTCTGGAATATCTAAACCAGTGGTTGACAGCATGAGCCACCTTACATCATGTGAACCATCTTATTAACCATCCTGTTAACATCTTGTTTACATCCTGTTTACCATCTTGTTTACATCATAACCTTCTTGTTTACATCCTGTTTACCATCTTGTTTACATCATAATAACCTTCTTGTTTACATCATAATTACCTTCTTGTTTACATCATAATTACCTTCTTGTTTACATCATAATAACCTTCTTGTTTACATCATAATTACCTTCTTGTTTACATCATAATAACCTTGTTTACATCATAATTACCTTCTTGTTTACATCATAACCTACTTGTTTACATCATAATTACCTTCTTGTTTACATCATAACCTTCTTGTTTACATCATAATTACCTTCTTGTTTACATCATAACCTTCTTGTTTACATCATAATTACCTTCTTGTTTACATCATAACCTTCTTGTTTACATCATAATTACCTTCTTGTTTACATCATAACCTTCTTGTTTACATCATAATTACCTTCTTGTTTACATCATAACCTTCTTGTTTACATCATAATTACCTTGTTTACATCATAACCTTCTTGTTTACAACATAACCTTCTTGTTTACATCATAATTACCTTCTTGTTTACATCATAACCTTCTTGTTTACATCATAATTACCTTCTTGTTTACATCATTACCTTCTTGTTTACATCATAATTACCTTCTTGTTTACATCATAATTACCTTCTTGTTTACATCATAATAACCTTCTTGTTAACATCATAACCTTCTTGTTTACATCATTATTACCTGCTTGTTTACATCATAATTACCTTCTTGTTTACATCATAATAACCTTCTTAACAAGCGTATAGTCGACGAAGTCATCTATATCCCCCGCCATTTTAACACGTTATGGTCCCAAACCAGGTAACTGACCCAACATTTCTCTTAGGCCATGTCAAAATAGCTGCAATGGAAATTCTAAAATAAAAATTTATAAAATTCCTAAATAGCAAAAGGCACCAGTTTAGCATGAGTCTGATAGACATGCAAAGTTTCGTAGAGAAATATTTAACGGTTTCTGAGTTATGCTCCAGAAACGATTTCGGGACGCACGCACACATGGACAGAACCCACTTCTATATCCCCCGCCAACTTCGTTGGGGCGGGGGATAATAACCTTCTTGTTAACATCATAATAACCTTCTTGTAAACATTATGTTAACCATCTTATTAACCGTCGTGTTAACATCTCCTTTACATCACGTTAGCCATTTTACTTACATCCTGTTTACCATCTTGTTTACATCATCTTAACCATCTTGTTTACATCATAATAACCTTCTTGTAAACATTATGTTTACCATCTTATTAACCATCGTGTTCACCCTCTTGTAAACCCACCTGCTCTGGAACTGTCAACAGGTCCTGAGTGTTGATTTCACCATCGCTGTCAACGTCTAAGGTTCTGAAGAACTGGAACATAGTCATTTAACAGTCAATACCACTTCCATCTTCCCGGGGCAAGGGAGTTAACTGACTGGGGAATTCCTGGGCTCGACTGTAGCACCCCCAGTGGGTATTACGAGTAATGTCCTTTCTATGTCCCTCTATTGACCAATCAGAATCCACCTCTAATATCACTTGCATTTGCGTCACAGGGCGGCACCCAGTCAAGACAATTGATAATCAAAATCTATATCGTAATGAAAAGTGACTTACTTCGCTAAGTTCATCAAATCACGTGAGCACCTTGATTGTAAACATCAAATGATTTGGAAAATATATGTTGACACCGAGCTGGTGGTACACATGCTTTGCAAATCTTGCAATAGACAGAAATCAGCATGGCAGTTTACAAACTGCATGTCAAACTCCTTATGCGATCTTGATTGGACTGTGCACAATATATAACTCCATAATTCCAGCCTAGTTCGGCAAGGGTGGAAACTGGACTTTTAAAGTCACTTCACTCCCTTGTCAAGGGAAGATGTACCACTTCCAGATATCAACACTAGCACTTTCTGAAAATCATGCCAATACATGGTCATCCAGAAAACTCAAGGAACTTTGACTGTTATTTCATTTAAATCACAGCGTGTCAGCTCACTGTGGGACAAAAGTCCAGCGGAATGCAGGTGTCGGACATTTGCCACCTTGAGGAACCCCATCAGCATGGGTATGGTGCTGACAAACCCATTATCATAACGAGGCAAATCTGAGACTAAAACCCACCAACATAGAACTTTGCAAAGCCATTCCAGGTTAGACATCTAAGCCCCCCATACCCCATTCAATATCTTGTGTTCGGAATACTACACACCTCTGAACTGTAGCACACTTACATCACATCAGGTGAGGACATCTTCCCGAGGCAGGAGAATTAACTGACTATAAAAGTCCAGTTTCCACCCTTGCCGAACTAGGCTGGAATCACTGGGCTCGATCGAGCGCCACCAGTGGCTATTACCAGTTATGTACCTTCTATGCCTCTGCTATGGACCACTCAGATTCCACCTCTCGTATCGCTTGTGTTTGCTTCACACAAAATGGTGGCCGATCTGATCGATAATCGAGATCTTTATTGTGATAAAACGGCTCTTACATCGCGAAAATGCATCAAATCAAGTGAGCACCTTGATTAAAAACATGAAAAGATTTGGAAAATATTTGCTGACAACGAGTTGGCAGTGCACGTTTTACAAATCCTGAAATCAACCGAAATCTGCACGACAGTTTACGAACCGGATTTCGATTTCAGTGAGCGATTTTGATTGGACTATGCATAGACTCGTTAGTCCAGCCAAAATGTAACTCCATAATCCCAGCCTAGTTCAGCAAGGGTGGAAACTGGACTTTTATAGTCAGTTAACTCTCTTGCCTCGGGAAGATGGATGAGGAAAGTGCAACATCTCACTGACTTTCATAACACTCAGAGATGGGAAGGTGGATGACGACCAAACCTCGACTTTCTTTGGTAAAGATTTTTCCAGGCCAAACTTACCATCTAGATCCACATTTCTAGAGGTTGGCTAGGTTCAGTCCGAAATACTTCTTGTCCTTACCTCATCCATTAGTTCATTGTAGACACTTGCAATTTTGGCTTTTGATTCTTCATTGGGAATAGTCTCTATCATATCTTCCTGTATGAAGAAACAATACCACGGTAAACTATGGTTACAAGGAACTCAATGAAAGCACTAATTCTAGTTTGTAATAACTGTAGTTAACAGTATAAGCATATATATAGGATAAAATATGAGTGGTCATGTCATACTATGTTTATGACACAAGTGTCTAAATTCCCGTATTTACCAGAATTTAGGCACGAGTGTGCTAATCCAGCAATGATGTCAACGGTGTGAAGTCATTCCGACCTACTTCACAATAAGATTTTAATGCCGTCAACAATGCCGTCCAGATGACGGAAAATATACACTGTTGTCTCGTGACGTAATATGACCACATATAATAATACGATAGGGCACATAAGATTTTTATGAACCCCGACATGTTTGCCCTCGTAGGTAATAAATACAGCATGTATACAGCAAATGGCCAGGTCAGTTCCGCCATATCCGTCAGTTGGTTGCTTGGTTTGTTTTACGCTGCACTCAGCAATATTCCAGCTATATTCCAGCTATATAACGGTGGTCTGTAAATAATCGAGTCTGGACCAGACAATCCAGTGATTGACATTGTCCATCAACTGAAAGTCGAAATCCTCGTGAACCACCATCATCAATGCTTCAAAGGTTGGCATCAACTTCTCTTATTAAAAAGAACTCAGATAAAAATATCAAATTTCAAACTGATCTTGAACATTAATTGATATTGAGTATTCATACTAACAGCAAATACTTTCTTGAAACCATCCAGATCCAAGCCTCGAATGGCCACTGTATTGATGAGATGATCCCTGGAAATATACACGTGTGAGTGATCATTGCGTAACCATACGTGAACATTCTTTTCAATTTTCAACTCCGTACAGCTCCCATCTATTGCTAACGTACCACCCCTCGGATTCCACAAACATGAATGTTGTCAGTAAGTAACAGCTACTTCTTGTTTTCAAACAGGAACAGAAACTATAAATGTTTGTTTTTGTTTGTTTGTTTGTTGTTTAACGCAGCACTCAGCACTATTCCAGCTATATGACAGAAGTCTGTCAATAATCGAGTCTGGACCAGACAATCCACTGATTGACATCATGAGCATTGATCCATGCAATTGGGATCGATGACATGCATCAACCAAGTCAGGGAGCCTGACCACCCGATCCCATTAATTGCCTCTTACGACAAGCATAGTCGCCTTTTACGACAAGCATGGGTTGCTGAAGACCTATTCTACCCAGGATCTTCACGGGTCTCCAGTGTATGTATGCTTAAAGAATTGACATATAACACATTACATTGTTCCCAGGAAGTTGGACATCCATCTATGTGGAATTAATCCCCTCTGAATATCCCTCGATCAGAGTCAACAGGAGTACTTACTTGATGGAGCCGATGTTGGACATGGTGGAGTCCATGCCATGCAGCTTGACGTTGGTGAGGGTGATGCTGGAGTCGCAGGAGGTGCCACAGGTGTCGAGGTCAGTGTCCCTGGCACTGTAGTGGTCCCACCAGATGTTGACCGCCAGGTTGCTGCCGAAAGACTGCACCTGGTGGATCCTGGTCACAACAGAGGGGATGTTATAGCACCGTAGCTACGTAATGACACTCTGTCCACCAACGGAGAGCGACTCGTCCGTTGTACAACCCATCACGTGTCATGCCAAAAGACGTTAAAAGATGGTACTTGTTGTTAGCCTGCTTGGTATTTATCAGGGGACAAGGAGTGGTTGGCTCGGAGTCAGTATAGTGTGTCTGAGTGGGGTATTCACGCTAAACTACGGCATTGTATCTCATTGGGCTAGCACTATGGAACCAGCATTAGTCCGGAGACACACACACACACAAAGACACACACACAGAGACACACACAAACTGACACACACACAGACAGACAGACAGACAGACGCACGGACGCACGCACACACACACAGACACACACAAACTGACACACACAGACAGACACATGCACGCACACACGCACGCACGCACAAACACAGACACACACAAACTGACACACACACAGACAGACACATGCACGCACACACAGCACGTTGCTATACAAATGCAATAATCTTGAGGGCAATGTTTAACCCCACTTCAGCCTTGTCTCTTCTAAAGGAGGTTCTTAGGGGTATGTAGGGGTTCATCATTGTTCAAATAAATCCATAATAATACGATATTAGACACCACCTACCATCTGTATGGGATGTAGAGACAATCTCCAGCCGTCATGTTGACATGGAAGAACTCCACCTCAGCTAAGCCTGGGAACTTCGTGAAGTCAACCCTGGAACCCATCATGACAAAGTGACGAAACATCAAGACATTCCCATCTCGTTACACCAGGTCTATCCAAGGTACAAGGATTAGCTGTGCTGCCCTGAATAACATGTACTGACATGTCATGACGACCTTGACTACCCAGTGTCTTATTATATCCCCATTCCATTATGATGCACATATCCAGGACCCAAGCACCACCAATTCATCCTATATAAGATAGCTACGAGATAAATTGCCAAGAACATTGAAGAACGAAGCATGGTTTATTTCATGATAAAACATTGTTCTATCGTGACGTCATGTCTAGAGATTTGAACATGCTACTTGATGACATAAATTGGACGACGTTACTTTTTAGACGGAAGTCTCTAATGAGTTGTTCCCCATAGAAGTAGCTAGGCAACGTTGATAAACGCAATAGACAAATGATTGATTCCTTAAGTGGGAGAGATATGACAATCGGTATTGGGAGAAAAGGTACAGGTAGCTGACATGAAAATTGTGAGAATATGTGGGAAAGACCACACTTAACCCCCCTGTTCATAAAATGGACTTGTCCGACATTGCCGTGGTCAATGTTTATCATATAATAAAACATTGCAGGGAGAATAAATCATTAGGTGTGCAGGAATGTACAATAAACAACTTCCACTTATTTGTTTCTTCAGTATTGCTAACATGTTTCTCTCTCATGCGTGACAAGACAAAAGTGGCTGCATAACTCATAGTGAATTGAAGGTCTGGGATGTTTAATAGAAGCTTTAGGAATATTGTAATGCCTCGCCATCATGGGGTGGATTACAAATATAAGTACTAAGTCTCCCATACCAACAAGTGCTGGCTTACAAAGGTGATGCCAACATGCAGGGGCTAAACCATGAATAAAACTTCAATGCAGTACAATGAGGCTGTATTATTAGCCCAGGTAAAACTAGCAAGCTGCTTGAGTGAGTGAGTATGGTTTTACGCCCCTTTTTAGCAATCTTCCAGCAATATCACGGTGGGGTACACCAGAAATGGGCTTCACACATTGTACCCATGTCGGGAATCAAACCCGGGTCTTCGGCGTTACGAGGCAACGCTTTAACCACTGGGCCAACCGACCGCCCCTCAAGCTGCTGGAACTACGGGTATGAGGAAACAGAGTAATACTGACAGTGACACCAATAAAACCACTGGGTGGGTGGGTGGGAGAGGTTTCAAATAGAACTCTGAACAAGCATGCCTCCATAGGACGTCCAGGACGATACAAAGTCAAATTAATGGGGGGTGACTCTACAGCAACAAAACATGGAACGCAAAATACAGGTATAGCAGAAGCAGCAGTAAAATATAACACTGTAACTGTGTCATAAAAAAATACTTTGCAATACAAAATATTACATGGTGGTACTCCAAAGTGTCAAACAAGTTATGTCCCTTTAGCATCACAAAAATCTTGAAGCCTTCATAAAATCCTCACACAATGCATTGAGGTCTGGGATGTGTTGGTCAAAAACACTGATTGCCATCTGTGAAACTTAGACATTGACTTCATCTCAGTTTTATGAAAGCAATATTTCTTGGGTGGGTTAGTATATATACCACTACCCCGTTCACATGCGCCTCTATTCATTTGTGTGTATATGTGCATACATGTGTAGAAATACATACGTGAGTATACTTGTCATGTGAACGCGTTTACTCATGTGTGTATATTTACACCAGGAGCAAATTTGCATCATGTCTGGAGCAGGTGCAAATGTAAATGTAAATTTGCACTGTGTGCATATGTTGCAATGTGAACGTTTATGTCAACGTAAGAGGATGATCTAATTAATATCTGTTCTTTTGCCAACCCAAAACAAATTGTCAACAGTTGCAAACTTTTATGTGTATATACAAAGTTGAGCGAACGGTGTTTTCTTTCGGTTTCAAGGAGTCAAAACTTTGTGTACAAATCAAATCAAATCAAACACATTTTGAGTCACGTGAACGTTTTCGGTGAAATAACTCTTCTCATTCAACTTTGATTGGAAAACACGTTTTGTGATGAAAGTCTGTGTGTGAACAGACTGACGAAGATGTGTGCCTTACACAATTTACATACTTTAGTTACACACCTAAGTTGATTTTCATGTGAACACATAGTAAATTTACATATACACACGTATGTATAGTTACACATGTGTAAAATTACTTACTTTAGTAAATGTTGTGCAAGTGAACCGGGTATAAGTTAGCAGATAAATTAGGTGGTGTTTTAACAACTTGCAGGAGCTCAAAGCTGCCTGTCCTAAGTAGCTCTTCATTTGTGTACACATGCCCAAAGGCAAGGGTGTAAACAGACTATAAACATCCAATTTCCACCATCATGTTTGAATTTAGAGGTATATTAACATTGTATTTTGAGAGTGCATTCAATGCAATAATATAAAACTAAGCATTAAAACTTCTTCCTATTTACTCGCTCCTGTTATCAATGACATCTCTACAAAGCCATAAAATGACATTTTTTATAGTTATCAGTTATATACCTTAACGTGAATTTGAATTTTTTTAATGACATATGCTGCAGGCTTGTGACCCAATATCGGCCCCTGGGCTGGCCTAGATAAATCCCTGGGGTTGCTCCTCAACCAATAGCCTTTGCATGAGAATATTCCTTATAGGGCTGGGACGGACAATGCGGGTACTCGGTTCGGGTGGGTACTGAGTAGTAGACCCCTGGTTAGTCACGTGGTATATTGTATATTGGATGTAACAATAAATAATCTTTCATGGTTACACAACAAATCGCAAACAGGTTCGTTACACCAGCATAGTTTAGAGCTTGGACCGGTTACTCAGGTCAGGTGGGTCCTGAGTAGGACCCAGAAACTCACAGGACTACCCAGACCTATGGTTAGTCACGTGATGTATTGTTTAATGACAAAAAATCACTAGAATTCCATGGTTACACTACACGTCACTGATGTTCCCATTTCTTTCTGACTGTGCACCCATTCCTACTGACTTTAATATGTTTGAATGAAGATACAACTTTAGTGTATGCATGAGATCGTTTTATACACATATCTGAATTCTTTTTGCCAGGGCTCCGATAAAACAATCCTCAAGCTCTTTAGGTCTACAGCGGGTATCTGGGTAGGGTCGGGTAATAGGGTGTGGGTTCCCAGGTAGTAAATTTAGACTCGTCCCAGCCCTAATTCCTTGGATCAGACACAAGAATTGAAAAGGTATCTGTCAGAAACCCATAGACAAACAGCACAACCACACACCATAATCCTCACCACATTAAATTATTTTTCCTTGACAAGAAAAGCCAGGCCTACATTTTCCTGCCACAAGGAGATCTATTACAGCCTTCACAACACAGGTAGAATCTCCTGGCCTGATACTATTACCTTACAACACTAGTGAACAGGAAGCACTTTAACATGCCCCACTGATCACCTGATCCTGCACTACAATTACCCAGTCTCGGAACACATTCTTGTGTAATAACACTAAGTGTCCCCCCTGCGACACAATGGGGGAACTCCCCACGCTTGAGTGGCAGCACGGAACACATCAAAGCAGTCTGGCTGTCCCCTAGGGCCTTGTGCCATTCAGGCAGAACTGCTTACAGTGCCCTGGAATACATACACATTATGTCACTCCACATCAGTAACTCTTTTGATCTACAGGATTTGATCAATATAACCCTAAACAGGAAATACCATGACTGATTTGTTGGACTTGGGCAAGTCAAATTTTGCAGTTTAGTTATCTGTGGACCAGTTGAAAATGCTCTTAAAATCAAAATATAAATCTACACATTGGTATTTACCAGAAAATGACACCGTAATGTGTCTTACCTGGTATTTATTTCACTGTAGTGCAGTGTTTGGCCTACAATGAAGCTTTCAGTTCATGAGGTGTGCATTGTTGAACATGTTCTGTTACTGTACTGATCTGTTATTAGTAAAGCAGCTCATGCCTCCAGCCCAAACCATTGTGAAACAAAGATGGACAGAAAATGAAGTATACTACTCAGAGAGGTTAAACAACACGTGATTTCTTGTCATGCCATGACAGATTAACTATAGTGATTTGTAAGGTGTTTTTAACCTGGGATTCATACTCAAAATCAAAACTATATTATTAAATATAATCATAATTTTTGTTAATTTGTAAAATGTGTAATTTGTAAAAATGGATATTTTCATTGTGACAAAATGTTAATGTTTTTTCAGTGCATATACATGGGAACTGGCAAAATACTAAATAGCATCCACTATGGCTACATCTAGTGGTTTTAGCACCATGTTCTGATATGGATCATAGATCATGTATAACCTGCCAGGGAAATAATTTGTGATTGTGTAAAACCTAGTCTACAGGATTTATATTTTATTTTCCAACTAGATGTTTCTTAGAGTCAATGGATCAACAACAAAAATGCCTGATAAAAACATAACCATACATGTATTTTTAACATAAAATAGAAGAGCTCTGTCTACCCCAATATAAGATGTAGAACAGAATGCTATGCCAAGTAATTCCTACCGGATACCATTAATAAATGGGAAATGTTACCTGATTGAATAACTCAAAGTAGAAATGATATGGAAACTCAAAAGATTATTTAACTTGGACAATGTTACTAATATACATTTTGACTTAAACCATGGTACTGGTTCTGTCAGTTAATCCATTCTCGCCTCAAACTCGGTTGTAGCAATTTAAACTTCCATCAGCTTGAAAGACACATCTCAGACAATGCATCATGCTCTTGTGGCTACCCCTTTGAAGATATACTGCATTATTTTTTCACATGCTCTAACTACAATACTTTAAGAAACAATTTGTTTTTCTTTTTGAATTGTTACAGTTTATATGTACATCCCGCGTTCTGGTAGATTTGCACTGATGTAATAACTTAAGAATTAATTCATATTTTAACATAAGTACTAAGTATCAAACAGTTAAAGACTTGCTTTTCTTAGTGATTGAACACCTTTCCATCAACTGGACCAAACGGTTGACCACTCGTGTTTGTCGGTTTTAATGCATATGTAACAAATGTTATATTTGGGATAACACTTTCTTAATAAAGTACAGATTCTCGTACTTTTTTGGGGTGAGTCCGGTCCGGGATTCAAACCCACAATTCCGGACGGGACTCAACCCAAAAAAGTACGAGAATCTGTACTTTACTAAGAAAGTGTTATCCCAAATATAACATTTGTTACATTTGACCACTTTCTAAAAGTCATTGTGTATTTAATGCATATATATAACAAACACGTATCAATATTACTTGACAAATATAATTTACTGTTAGTGGAGCGGTATTAACGTAAGTTTACCAATCCAGATTCATTTATTGAATAAAAATATGTTTCAATCATATGATTCAATGAGCGAGATATTCTACAAGACAGAATCAAGGGGACACAGTATCTGGTCAAGCTCAGGACAAAGCTAGACAGCCCAACTTGATCTTCATATTTTGGAGCAGTATTTGGTTGGAATCCTTCGGATGCAAGGTTTTTTTTATAAACAGTACAGATAGATAAATGGGTTAGCCAAACTATTCAGATTCTGAACATTTAAGTAATAAGTCAGATATTCCTGTTATGTTTATGAACATATTTAAAAAAGAAAATGTATCCATAGATGTGTGAGATTTGTTCGCAGTGAGCTTGAGTGTGATTTGTCATAAGGAAGATGAGTCTCACTCTAAATATACGTGATTTGAAATCATGGATATGATGAACAACGTAAGTATCTAAAGTACAGACAATTTATGGCTTGACAATGGTATGAGGATCCAGGTCAAAACGTCAATTTGACAGTAAATATAGATGTTGTTATCCATAAATTGGGTCTTCTTTGTCATCTGTCAACTTCCAAGTCATGCCTATCAAACAATTAAATTTAAGTAGTGTAAATGATCATACCCTGTGATTAGAATCCTAATCTTCATGTTAACAAGGCTTACTGCTCCAAAACATAACATTTGTAGTCAGTTCCCCAACCCACTGTTTCCTTTACACTGGTTAGTTGTCTGGGGTAGAATAGGTCTACAGCAACCCATGCTTGCCGTAAAAGGTGACTATGCTTGTTGTTAAAGGCAACTAACAGGATTGGGTGGTCAGGCTTGCTGACTTGGTTGATGCATGCCATCGATCCCAATTGCGTGGATTGATGTTCATGATGTAAATCACTGGATTGTCTGGTCCAGACTCGATTATGTACAGACCGCCGTCATATAGCTGGAATATTGCTGAGTGCGGCAAATCTTGAAGGGCAACCCACCTGTCGACGTCCATGCTGGAGTACAGGCCCTCCGGGTGGTCCAGATCTACCTGGGACAAAACAATACCAGTGATGAGCTTGACAACATTCTGCCAACATGTAACACTAACTGCTCCTACTGGCTATCTGTAAAAATTTAAACATGTAGAGCCTTACGAATAGCAGTGTATACATACGCATTCACATGCCAATATCAGTTGTCTCCCCTTACATGTATGTATATGATAACAGCCAAATTCCCTACATCATATACTGACCCCACAAGCTTGTTGTTTGTTTAACACCGCACTCAGCAATATTTAAGCAATATGACGGCAGTCTGTGCCAAACAATCCAGTGATTGACATCATGAGCACTGATCTACACAGTTGGGATACGATGATATGCATCAACCAAGTCAGGAAGCCTGACCACCCGATCCCATAAGTCGCCTCTACGACAAGCTCAGTTGCTGAAGATCAATTCTATACCAGATCTTCATGGTTAGACCCCACAAGTAATTAGGATGAGAATATTCACACTGTGCTATACTGAGTTTCATATGACCAAGGAATCCTGTGTTTTTGACACAATATTTTGACAAAATACTTGTTAGTTTCAATGCATCATTATCAACACAACATTAAAAAAAAGCTGTTATTTGTTATCAGGAAGTTTGTCCAACATGTTGCAGTTCCAAAGTCCATATAAAAAATACAAAAATCAATATAAAAAAACCAAAAATGATATTCTGAAAGAGAATGAAATGCAAACACACTTGAAAACATCACTGCATGATTAAGTGGATGAAACTTGGTATATAACTCAAACAGACAATCACATCAAACAATGGTGTCCTGTTTGTATGTAAAAACAAAATCCCTTTCGACTTTTACTTTTACCATAAGGAAGTCATAACTCTCGTTTAATCTGATAACTACAAACACAAAACATTGTGAGTCATGAACACTCTCTGATATCAAAGGCTGCGGGGAGCACGGCTCCAGGCACTTGACGACTGCATGAACTGGACAAAACTATTGCATCCTGGACCCATACAAATTTAACAGGGACCCAAACAATTGACATTGCAAGTCCTGGGGCACAGCAGCTGTGAGAATCATTCAAAGTTATCAAAGTCAGAGATTGCTCAGTACGTATAATTGCCATTTGTATTCTGGTAAGAATTACGCTGTTTGGAGTGTGTGTGGTTGACTTTCTTCCCTCTACATGTATAATTGAAATCCCCATCTATGATAGGTACAAGGTGAGGTGAGGTGAGGTGAGGTGAGGTGAGGTGAGGTGAGGTGAGGTGAGGTGGGGTTTAACGTCGCGTCCAAGATTTATTGCACTTATATAGCGACGTGCATGCACGTGTATGTGTGTGTGTGCTTGTACTAGTCCGGACTGATGCCGATTTATAGTGCTAGCCCACTGAGATACCATGCCGCAGTTTAACATGAATACCCCACTCAGACACAGCTCACTGAGATACCATGCCGCAGTTTAACATGAATACCCAACTCAGACACAGTATACTGACTCCGAACCGACCAGTCCTTGTTTTAGCCCCTTAATGCCGAGCGCCAGACAGGGTAACAACAAGTAACATCTTTTAACATCTTTTGGTATGACGCGGCTGGGGATCGAACCCCCGACCTTCGGCTCTCCAGGCGGACGCTCTACCACAAGACCACAGAGGCGGTCTCTGGTAGGTACAAGGTTGTCAGTATGTACGACAACAAAAGATCAGTAAACTTCCTAGCAGCCCAGTGAAGCATGTCGATTGTGGCCCCAAACCTTAAGTTAAACATATATATTATCCCAGTCCTGGGCCCCGTACCACAAAGCTATCTTAGCGCTGCGGAGATCGTAAGTCCCATACTTGTGGTTTAAGCATATTTATTCCATAAGAATACCCTGGTATACGTGACCATACATTAACAGAGATTGATGACAGATATATCACTACGGCGATCGTAAGTCCCATCCTTTAACATTCACTACAACAGTCTTAGCACTAAGATCGCCTTATGGAACTGCACCCTCAAAAATAGACAGACTCAGGTAAATACATGGTGTGTGCTAAAGAGTAAAAAGCTACAAAATTGTTCTACATTTTTGCATTGATCCATGTTAAAATACCTTAAGAAATTAAGAACTTTGAAAAAAATCATCTTTTATCAAAATGCAAATGTAGTGCTTTCATCCCAATCTGCCTGACACGGGCACTTCGTCTGAACTCCTACATCAGTCAGTGTTTTATCTGTGGTCAAAGAATACAAAAAGACAATTCTGACTGACTGATTCCACTGACATGCAAAGAGATCCATAGACCACCAGGTTCCTGTGTCGTACATCATGTACTTCCTGTGTATCGGGCATCAAGGAAGAGATACCAGACATAATGACAACATTAATAACAACGACAACATTCTCTGTGGCCATACAAATAGTCACAGAGGTTATCAATCAATCAAATCACATCAGATATTGCTGTGTAAGTTCTGAAAAATCTAACAAATTTTAAATGTGTGAACATCTCCCAGTGTGGAATGCATTATGGCATGATGGAAAGTATGCTATACTTGATACATTGCTGTTACATGAACTGAGAGAAGTATTAATAAGGACATTGAGATATCTGATGCAAACACTTCCCTGTATAAGGCTTAAAAAAAATAAAAATTGGTTCTCAGGCAACGGTTTTTGAAAATATAGTGCGGGCGGGCGGTGTCTTTTTTTGTTGTTGTTGTTCAAACTAGTATGTAACCAATAAACAATTGTGTACAGTCAACCTAGGCCTCCCTACATAAATGTATTCCTTGATGAGTAAAATAATGGAATACAGTATTTGACTACCGTTGGACTTGGAATCATTAAGGATTTTTTGTTGTTGTTTTTTAAAATGGAAATCAAAAACGAAACGTGTGGCAAACTTTATGATGATGTGGGCGGTGCCTGAGAACCAAGACTTTTAGCTTTTTTTAGCCTAAGTTACCTGTAAAGATCTATTGTCAAACTGTCAGGACATTGTTTGTTTGTTTAACACCACACTCAGCAATATTCCAGCTATATGATGGTGGTCTATAAATGATAATCGATTCTGGACCAGAATTTGTTTGTTTGTTTGTATGAAAAGTTTAGCTTGTTTATTGCTTAACACCACACTGTATGACAGGGGTCTGTAAATAATTGAATCTGGACCCGACAACTTATCAGGCTGCATGAAACTCAAAGCAACAGAACACCAAAAACTTTTGTTTCACATAACATGGATATGGGGCAGTAGATAGTTTTTCGGACGGATTGTTTTAATTTCATATACTTTTTAAAGACAGTAATATGTAAAATGAAACACATATGTCGTTTATAAGACTTAGTTTCAACTGGCCATGTTTCTGGAGTTTGTAGGTCGAAATGGCTACTGCAATGGTAATATCCAAGTTTTTCTCAAAGAAGCTTGTGTCAGCAGATTTCTACGTTTTGGACACAAAATAAGTAAAACACAAACAATGATGCCTATCACTTATGAGAATTAAACTCCTGCTTATCATTGTTAATCTTGCTGAAACTTTATAATTATGACTGATATCTGACAACTGATGAAGTGTAAGAAAAGTAAGGGTCCCTTCCCCTTGTGCATATAATCAGCTAAACCCTGCTGAAATCTGCTGACACACGCTTCCTAAATAAAACAGCAGCTGTCTGTAAAGTAACCACAAGTAAATGTGCTATTCTGTATTCTGTGTTTTTTTTTATGCAAACAAATGACAAATTACAAGAAACAATGACTAAACAAGCGTACAGTCACGAAGTCATCTATATCCCCTGCCCATTTTAACACGTTATGGTCCCAAACCAGGTAAGTGATCCAACATTTCTTTCAGCCCATTTCAAAATAGCTGCAATGGAAATTCTAAAATAAACATTTCTAAAACTTATTAACTTCCTTAAATATCAAATGGCACCAGTTCAGTATGTGCTTTATATATATATATATATACAAAAATGAGGTAAATGTTCACTCGGTGTACATGTAATATATAATAAAATAATAAAGTCCACGTTAGTCTATCATCTTCTTTATATCAGTTTCAGACATAGTACTTTCACTGTCTCATGACAGCTCTTCAGTGTAACTGACGTCATACTTATGATGACGTCATAAATTACAACTGTGACGTCATAATGTATTTACACACTCCAGCGACGACACCAAGTAATTTAACAATTGTTGGGAGACATTTGAATTAAAATATACAGTATTTGTAAAGTAACAGTGTAACATTTACGATTGAAATGAGAAATCTATTATTAATTCTTTTAGGTGGTTATTTAGGTTGGTGTGTCTTGTTTGGAGTTTAGTGAGATTTTTGTTTGTCGATTTTTTTTGATGGATGGAGAATTTTTGGTTTGGTTAGTGGTTTGCTGAGTACTTTTTTGATTTGGCTATTTGAGTTTAGATATAGGTTATGCCATTTTTTGGTGATTTTTTGCATGTTTACACTTTTAATTTCTGATTTTGAGATGGGTAAGTTTAAGCTTATTTCTGGGATTTTGAGGGATAGTTTAGCTGCTTTATCGGCGTTTTCATTACCGTATATTCCTACGTGGGCGGGTATCCACAAGAAGGTTATTTGTTTGCCTGCCTTAGTTAGGTCGTTGAAGCTTTTAAGTATTTGATTTATTAATTTAGGTCGGTTCTTGGTATGAAAAGATATTCGTTATCATATATTTGTGCTATGTATCCTCATCACCTTAAAGCGTATTCGTTGCGGTCCTACTAAAACACACACCTCAATTTTAAAATTGCCATAGGTAAAGTGACAATATTTCACTAAAATGAAATAGACACTTCCATTTGTTGAAAACATTACATAATAAACAAAACATACATCCAAAAAGGAGAAATTGACACCTGGCAATGCACTACATGACAGTGATCTCATACACCTGTCAACAAAAAGCTTTCAAATTCCAGACTCTCCATTTCACGCCCAGGGAACTGACATAAATATATTGAGCTAATTAGCCAACCTTTGAATGGCACACATGCACCCAATTGTTCCCAAGACAGGCTTTGTGGGGCAAGCGTAATGGAAATAATTAACAAGGTGTTAATTGCTTGCAGGCCTTGTCAGCTTGTTATTACACAACCAGGGAACAAAGGAGACGCGCTCTTTGTGTGTGGACTCTAACAGTGGATGATCCTTTCCCTAATTACACAGCTTAATGCTATTTCCTGTTAGGGGTTCCCATATAAACTAGGAGATATTTTTCAGTGAGCCATTTGAACTTTTGGCAAGCATGTCCTCATTTTGACTGAGGTACCTAGGATTTAGTAAAAAGGTAGGTGTGGTTTTGTCTTTAATCATGGGTATTGAAAAGGGATCCAATGGCAAAGGAAACCTTAAGCTACAAATGTAGATGATTTCTTTCAGATTCTTTAATTTGAAAAGAAGGATTTTGCAATGGAAAAGTTAGTATAGACTATCTAAACTAAATAGTTCCACACCTAAAGATGCATCGATCAGTTATTGGATAAACTAACTAGAAACGTAGCCTTTAGCCTTGATGTTGTTTCTGTTTAACAACCTACATTGCAATGCTTAAAACTACTTTGGCTTTGTTGCAATTATGATCAAATTAGAAGCAATTTATTATATAACATAAAAGGATATGATATTTATACAGCAAATCAAGAAATTCTTCTATCTGTCCATACTTTCATCATACATTCTGGTAGATATAAACTTATTAATACAACAAACCCTCACATATAATATATATGTATCTTGTGTACCTTATGTAGTACTTAATATTACGTATAGTCTCATCGTTCTGACTTTAAGAACCTGACACTGCTGATCATGCTTGATAACTGACTATAAGGTATTTTCTTAGTCAAGGTGTATACATAATATTTGAACAAGAAAATATCTTATCTTTGTTACCTAATTTCCATAGGGAACGGTATCAAAATAAGCACTGTATTATTTTACCAATCCTAATTTTCAGTTGCGATAAAAATATGTTTCAACATTTATCTAGATAATAACATTATTGAAGTACCTGTGTCTTACTGTTGCAATGTCTCATGGCTGTTGCTTAATGCAAAAACAACATTGGAACATTTGCCAACTTCTAGAATGCCAACCAAACAGTTAACATGGAAGATAATAATTAGGATATATGTACCAGGGTATACATATGCAATAGTTGGTGTCAATCTATGCCCTGTCTCAGTGACCTTGATATAAATTATAGTATAATATTTTCACTGTTTTGTTTCTATTCCACATTCCATAATTAGTCATCATGTTATATTTCATTTGTATGAATATTTATATTTCTTAAGCACATTCAGTTTATTCCTATCAATAAGTATGACGTAAGATCGGGAATGGGCAAATTTGACGTCAATGACCTACTTTCAATACATAAAACATGAGGTAGGAAAAAGACCCTGTCATATTCTGCAGTTGAAAACGTAATGTTGAAAATTCAAATAATTGACATATATACAATATGCTTTTTTCTAAGAGAACAAAAACTGAATCACTTGTCCCTACAGTTGTGGTATACTTCTTGCCCTTGGTCAGGTCATGGAATGCATGTTGGTTTGTCTGCATAATAGGGATGGGATGGGTAACTCGGGTACTCGGGTCGGGTGGGTACTGAGTAGGACCCGGGTACCCACAGGACTACCCGAACCACTATAACTACATGGTAACTCAAGTCACTAATGTTCGCATTTCTTCATGACTCTGAATGCATTCCTTATGACTTATATATGTTTAAATAAAGACAAACCTTCAGCTTCAGTGTATATGCATGACCAGATCGTTTTATATGTGTATCTAAATACATTTTGCTCATGCTACTGCCAATCAGACATTATGTACCTATCTCTTGAAACCAACAGCGATTACCTGGGTAGGGTCGGGTAATAGCGGAGTCGGTACCCAGGTTGTAAATTTAGACTCGTCCCAGCCCTAGTACATACAGGTTGTGTTTACACTGCACCAGATAAGTATCTTGTACAGAGATAGCAAGATAATAGGGGACATGTTTAACAAGGCTTAATATATAACTTGATATAATGAAAGAGCTGACTGTATAAAAGCCGACACTGTATAAATTCACAAATTATTCTGTTTTCTCAATCAGTACCCTTTAATCCAAATGCATTGAAATCCAAATCAAGGAGAATATGAAATGTACATATCAGGTCTACCAGCCAAAACTTTCAGGAAATATTTGGGTCCTGTTAAGTAACGATATTGTGTAGTATAACGCTGTACTGTAAGATTTAATAATTACCTTAATTACAGGAACTCTCTTGTAAAGTGTACAATGAATATAACTGGGGATGCAAAATATATTTTCTCTGCATACATTCTATACATTTGTGCGAATTGGATGTAGCATAGCATAAAACCCTTGACTTAATTGCAAAGGTACTATGACTTTCGCAATGACTTAATGTAAAGATTTGACTCATGTGCTATTGTTTCTGAAAATAGTTCTTCATACATGCCAACAGTTTCACAAGTTATTGAGGGGAAAAGGGTGAAGGTATATATCAGATATCTCTCTTTGCATGTGCGAAACAGGATTTTAGGCTTACATAAGAAACCTTTATATACAAAGGACAAAGGATGACAAGGGACAAAGACAGCAGTGAGGTTCAACAATGAAATTAACAATGCAGGACAAACTGTCAAACATCCACTAATTACACCCTCTGGCTATATTAATTCATCCAGAATGACATGGGTATACATCTTACATGACAGGTGCTAATTGCTTCTGTGTGGATGGGGGGGGGGGGCAAGTGAGTTAACAATAGAGTGCTGAAGGAGGGCTTAGAAAGTGATATGTAATTGATTTGCATAATTACTATTACGTACAGCTCTGGGAAACAAGCACAATGCTATGAAGATGTATCATTGTGAAAACGGCGTTCAAACTCAAGGGTCATTGAACTTTGCTTAATTAAGCATTTCACTATTCTTAACATTTAGCTTGAACATTCAACCATTGACAACATGCCTGCAAAATCACTAAAATAATTTACCAGAGTACATATGTCCAACTCCCCAAGGTTATAATGTTAGTATTGATGTTTACAGTATCTTGTTGTTTGTTTGTTGCTTAACAACACACTCAGCAATATTCCAGCTATATGACGGCAGTCTGTAAATAATCGAGTCTGGACCAGCCAATCCAGTGATTGACATCATGAGCATCGATCCATGCTATTGGGATCAATAACATGCATGAAACCAACTCAGCATGACCACCCGATCCCATTACTCGCCTCTTACGACCAGCAGAGTTGCTTTTTACAGCAAGCGTGGGATGCTGAAGACCATTTCTACCCCTGATCTTCCTGATTCCCTGATTTCTCCCCACCTTGTCCCTGTATTTGTTGGTATCCACCATTACAAACGTCTTGTTTCCCCGGTAGAGACAGTTGATGTTGTCAACAGCATCGGCATGAACGACAGACTTAGTTCCCCCACTGCTGAACCACATCATCTATAGAAATAGGATACAATATTTTAGATGTTTTATTCAATGTGTACTATATACTCATCACTGAAAATCAATTCATTAAGAAAAATTGATTTAATCCAGAATTAATATATGTTGGAAGTGCATCCTTAATGGCCCATAAAAATAGGCCATAATAATAATTATTTACTTATAAATACTGATCATGACAGTTTTGTGTTATTTTCTAAAATATCCTATAAAAAAGTGTACCAGTTTTTTGGATTTAATTAAAACTTGGAAATCTAACATACCGCAGTGACAACACTTTCTTCCATTAGCTGAGTACACTGGACTGCACACGGGAACAATAAGTCACCTCTAGAAGCATACATTTATTATTATTATGATTATATAAGGCAGGTATCCAGGTACTAGTATCTGCTCAAATACAGTTTATTTGTACCCGACCAGTGGATTTGTTTGCATTCTAGTGCATTCTCAACTCCCTGGGGAGTAAATAGCCCGGTTGCCTAGGTTTCACATCCACCTCACATACTGGGTACCCATTCCCTGCTAGGTGAACAGAGGCATGTTTTGAACGAAGTCACCTGCCGAGGGTGACACCACAAGTTATTACACTTGTGTTTCAGGTGTATGTACTTATCTGGCTTCCATCATCTGGTCATCTACCATCTTTTGAGTGCACTATATGTATGTACTATATGTATGTACTATACACTAGGGGTAGTGACAACACTGTAAAAACATTGTTGGTCCCAAGGCTGAATAACAACCTGGTCACTAGCAGGACAAGATCTCAGCACCTGGCACTTGCTACCCTGGTGCTTTTGACCTCTTGCCCACTCAGCCCCTATATTTCCAATCTACAGGATCAGGATGAGATCACTATACAGTCTTCTCTGTGAACTTGAAGTAAACTTAATTTCTCAGGTATTCAATGATGAAAATAAACGGATATAACACATTATAACGAAAATCAAGAGCGCAGTGTACCCAAGATATTCAGGGACAGCATCCACCATGTAGTATTCAGTTTTGTTGTAAATCTTTATAAAGTCTTGAAACTTCATATCTTCCGTGTCTTGCTGTCTGCTCTCTTTCTTTATCGTTTCAAGATGCACGATACTTTCTTCTGGTAAATCAAGCGACAGAAAATAATCGTCTGTCCACAAATTGAAAGCGGGTGACAATTTTGCAGCTCCCGTCATCTTTAGTGGTTTAGATCCAAAAGCATAGTCTCTCAAAAAAGCCCTCTGATCGGGAAAACCATCGACTGCATCAATCTGCCTACTTGGGCGACCTGATCCAAATGGTTTCATATGGCCTGGCTCACTTGTCAAATCCTTAGGAGATTGTTTATCATTTTCTGATGTTCCCAGAATAACAGTACCAAACATGAAGCTGACAAGGGTAACAATATGTGAACATTTCATGATCGACACAACACAATACGCCACGTCAGTAGGAGTTTATGACACGATCTACCTGCCTCCAAAATAACGGATCTTGTTCTAAAGTCTTTTAGCAAATAAACTCCTGGTAAGAGTCCGCTGTAGCCCACATGGAGGTTACATATTCGTAACGACTATCTATGTATTATCTATGCGTTATGGAAAAAACCTATATTTTTAGATTATCAGACATTCTGTATATTGCAATATCAATTGAATATCTGAATATGGAAATATGTTGGTATAAGCATTGCTTTTTGTGTGTATGTTTCAACATAAAAAGGTTAAAACATTACTTGTTAATTACTATTGATACTATCCTTAATTAACGATACTTAACCATTCGCATTTGCAATATTATTAGTTCAATGAAATTGTAGGATTTCGTTTAACTGTTCTTTTGGTGACAATCTTTCATATGGCCATATTCTTATGGAACAAGTGTACACATTCAACTTGTATTCTTCTAAATAGTCACTAGGAATATCGTACACAGTGTAATTTGCATAAGCCACTGAAACCGGTTTCCGTAACTGGATTCACGAAAAAAGTACTACGAGTAATTTTCAAATTACTACAAAATAATTAATTTTCAGAATGCATTTATCCTAATTACGCAAAATTAAAAGTTATTGTGGTGGAAATAATAAAAATATGATGAATATGTAACCTGTCGGCAAAGAAGAGGCCCCCGACGACATGTCACGTGACCTCTCCGCCATTTATCCTTTTTCTACCTTGGCCAACAAAACTCTACGAGTAAATTTTGAAAGGTCTTACTGCGGTAGAGGAGTTTACTTAAAGCTCTGCGAGGTAAGAACTTATTGCTAAGGTAACCTAGAATCATTTTGTGCATTTTTGCTTGCATGTAATTATCAATGGCTCGTGGAAAACGTTTTTCAAATATGAGCCTTTGCTTTGCTCTTCCCTCGCCGCCTTCCTGACCACGGCGTGCGCGATGAAAGACAAAGGGATCTCTTTGTCCTGATTGTTATAGTCTCGAACGTTAGTGACAGTGTTTGTTGGAGGGCCAAAGTTTGTAAGCCTAATCATTTTCAGTCTCTCTTGGACCTCGTATGCATGAAGAGTGTTTCTTGTCAGTCGTGTGTCAGTTAATTTTGCTATATTTGCAAACACGTGGTCTCTCCGCGTGGGCATGGCTGCCGAGCCACGCTGATCAATCTTCGAAGTAGGTCAACAGGATACGCTGGGATTTTTTTTGGGCGTGGGTATTGACTATCGATTGTAGTATGCATTGTGTATTTATGCGTAGATATTAATACGTGAATATTACCGGTATGTTGTAAAATCATTTGAACAGGTTACAAGTCGATATTCATAACGATTCTTTGTTCATCCCTTCCAGTGACATGCCCTGTTAGGGTTAACTTTAGGAATACTAATTGTCATTTAGCCTAATTGTCAGTGTCTTGAGATAGGATTAAAGTGAGATTTTTTTTAGATAGATGGGCATATTATTTCCAGTTTTACAGATAGGTTGTTTTTAACAGTGTAATATATTACTTAAAAAATCAAAGCAAATTTCAGAGATCTGACTTTTGTTTTGTCTCATGACTGCATGGTAAACGTATTTAGAATTAGACAGTAGATGTATTCAGCATTATTTTTTCATCCAGCATGCTTATCCTGTGAAAATGTTTTCAGTGAATGAATATTTTCTTCTTTTTTTTTCAGTAATGACCACAAACGGTGAGGAGCAAATGGACCAAATGACAGAAGACAAATTATTAGCCGAAGACGAAAAAGACGACCAAATGGATTTTGAAATTAACGGCAGAGCGGAGGACTTGCAAAAATTAATTGACTATGGAATTGACAGAAAAGTGTCCGAAGAATTGGTCAAAATTTATTTAACAGGTATGTGAAAGTTAGTCGGCGACTTAAGCAGCTAGTCCAGAAGGATCACACAGCACTAGTCAATAAACGAAGCCTTAAGTATACTGAAAATAATGCTTAAGTACTTTTTTGGGCTAATACTCAAGATTTTGGCAGAGACTGCAGGGAAAACATGTTAAATGAAAAAAAGAAATTCAGATCTTACATGTAGCTTATTGTGCTGCAATGATTATTTAAAGTATGAAAATATGTTTTCCTATATTAAACCTACATAATGCATTTCAGGAAAACTCACCCCATCTGATCTAGATGAACGCGCACTAGATGCACTGAAAGAATTCAATGCCACTGATGCAATAGAGGTCTTGAAACAGTTTTGTGAAAGCAACTTAGAACATGTGGGCAATAAAAGTGCATTTTTGTGTGGACAAATGAAAACCTACCGTCAGAAGAGCAAACAAGGCGGTGCAGCAACACAAGCCAAGGGCCCAGATGAAGCCAAGCTGAAAGTGAGATATTGAAAATGTTTTGAAATTCTTTTTTACATGTTTTCTGAAATGAAAATATAAGTAGGATCTGATCTAGACTGTCTGCCCCAAGAGTGGAATGTCCGGGGTTCGATCCCCAGCCACGTCTTGTTGTTACCCTCTCTGGCGCTCGGCAGAATGGACCGCCTCCATGGTCTAGTTGTAGAGCGTCCGCCTGGAGAGCAGAAGGTCCAGGGTTCGATCCCCGGCCGCGTCATACCAAAAGACATTAAAATATGGTACTTGTTACCCAGTCTGCTGTCGGCATAAAGGGGCTAAAACAAGGTCTGGTTTGCTCGGAGTCAGTTTACTGTGTCTGATTTTTGTATGTTAAACTGTGACATGGTATCTCAGTGGGCTAGCACTATAAATCGGCATAAGTCCGGACTAGTACAAGCGCACGCATGCACATGCACGTCACTATATAAGTGCAGTGATATTGGACGTGACGTTAAACTCAATTTCACCTCACCTGGAAGAAATTCTTTTAACCTGCATTAGTTTTTCGTACATCATAAGACATTGGATCTTCTTACTCAATTAAAATTTATTCCTTATAATAATGGTTTTTGTGTAAAACTGAAATTTCTGATTTCAGGAAATTTTAGATAGAACTGGCTATTCCTTGGATGTCACTACGGGTCAGAGAAAATATGGAGGACCTCCACCTAACGAGGACGATGTACAGCCAGGTCCAGGTCATGAGGTCAGTTTTTGCCTTGTTAAGATAACCATAATTGTTTCACGCCTAGTGTGTGCTGGAATACTTGATAGATTTTTTACTCAGTTTTTACTTGGGATCTTTGGATGCTCCTAGACTAACAACAGTCTCATTTACTTTTGTGCAGTGAAAATACATGGTTTCTTTCTCGCTTAGCATTCAAAGTATCACAGTATCAGTTCCAGATCTGTACAATATTGTAGAACTGGCGTTCCCTATCTGTGTAGATCAATGATTTGACGCTATGCTGTTCCCCTAATGGAGGGATTGGCACGATTCACATCAACAAACAATAGGAAAATCAGATATAAATTTGAAAAGCCTTTTATGGATTTACAATTTCATGTCTATTCCCTCAAGGTTAATGTATATATGTTAATTGAAAATTTTCAACAAAAGTTTTTCTTGTTGCAGGTCTTTGTTGGCAAAATTCCAAAAGATCTGTTTGAAGATGAACTTATTCCATTGTTCGAGAAGTGCGGGCGGATCTGGGATCTCCGACTAATGATGGATCCCCTCACAGGCCTTAACAGGGGATACTGCTTTGTCACATTCTGTGACAAGGTGGGAGCGCAAGAAGGTGTCAAGCAGGTACATATATTTTGTAACAAATTTGTGGAATACCCTGCAATATTGCTTTTAAATAACAGGAATTTCCAAACATGATAATATGGTCTCAAGTCCCAGTGTTAGAAACTGCTTTAGTCCACTAGTCCTTACTTCGTCTAGTCCTTATATACCTTATATAACTATTGGGCAGTTTGATAAGTGCGCTCGCGCTGAAGTCCGAATATATATTCTGAAAAGGGCAAACAAAATTATGTCCAGATATTGGCGTAGTACTGAACTATTAGGTAAATCACACTCAAAATGTTTCCCTTGTGGTGATGCTTGGGCAGAAATGGGGAGGTGGGTGAAATGACAAAATTATTGCATTTGTATAGCGACATGTGTGCACATGGCTGTATGCCTGCTTTTTCTAGCCGAGACTAAAGCGTTTTATAGTGCTAGCCTACTGAGATACCAAGCCACAGTTTAAGATGATTACTCCACTCAGGCACAGTATACAGACTCCGAGCCGACAAAGTCCTTGTTTTAGTTTCTTAATGCCGCCTGCTCTACCACCAGAAAGTCATGAAAATTGATTAAAGTAGTCATTGGGTGATGGTGTCATTGTACGGCTAATGCATGGATCATGTTGTTTTTTTAGATATTTTATGGTCCACACGTTTCGCCCAAACAAATCGGTTTTGCTGATTATCTCATGTCTCACCATTTCAGCTGGACAACTATGAAATCAGAAAGGGCAAGACATTGAAAGTGAATATCTCAATTGCCAACCTGAGGTTATTTGTTGGAAACATTCCCAAAAATAAAACAAGGGACGAAATCAGAGAAGAATTTGGGAAAAGAACAGGTTAGTTAAAATAATCAAAAAGCAGAAATAGCCTTGTTTAAGATTTAGCAAGTAACACATGAAACCTGCCCTTCTGCTTTTGTTGATGAAATGTAAAACAAATTAAGCGAATGCAGAAAAATGTCTCTTGTTATTGAGGATGTGCTGCCTTTGCACTACTTTCTGAAATCAATAGGACGGTCGGGTAGCCTAGTGGTGAAAGCGTTTGCTCGTCACGCCGAAGACCCGGGTTCAATTCCCGACATGGGTACAATATGTGAAGCCCATTTCTGGTGTCCACGCCGTGATATTGCTGGAATATTGCTAAAAGCGGCGTAAAACCATGCTCACTCACTCTGAAATAAAACACAATAAAAGTCATGATCAGGTGTCACATGCAGTGTTTTCACCCTATTCTTCTCTTTCTTTTAGAGGGTCTCACAGATGTCATCGTGTACGGATCAGCCGACAACCAGAAACTGAAAAATAGAGGATTCTCATTCCTGGAATACGACAGCCACAAGTCTGCTTCCACTGCCAAGAGGAAACTGGGAAGTGGCCGTGTCAAAGTCTGGGGTTGTGATATAATTGTTGACTGGGCTGATCCTCAAGAAGAGCCAGATGATGAGACTATGTTGAAGGTATGTATGTTGCTAGATACCAGGAGACCGGTGTTGTACCTTGGCTACCATGCATGATCTGCAATAAAATTATACTTTGTAAATCGGAAATCATTACTTGCATTTGCAACTTGAATTAGGAAAAAATGTGATCAAGTTGTTGCCTTGAAACATTCATAAATCTGGTCTTGCACCTTGTAACTATGAGAAAAGAATACCTTTCTGGAGACCATCGTTTTACATGACAAGTTGCATATTTTTTCCACAAGATGTTTAACTTAGAAAACTTGTTTCAGGTTAAAGTGCTATACGTTCGCAACTTGACTGCGGATGTAACAGAAGAAATACTTAAGGAAAAGTTTGAAACGTTCGGCAAAGTCGAACGAGTGAAGAAAATCAAGGACTATGGATTTGTTCACTTTGAAGATAGGGATCATGCAGTCAAAGCGATGGATACACTAAACAACACAGTAAGATTGAACGTCATTATGTCCAATATATTCATTTCCAACAAGTGAGTGAACAAGTGAATTACATTGCATTGGCAGTATTGCAGCCATATAGCAAGTTTTCAACCCACTTGGTATGTTAACAGATTAGTTTAGATGGTTTCACTGACTTCATCACCTCTAGATCCAATCTGCTGATCAATCCCCAAGTACCAAGAAATCTTTTACATACAGTAAGTGGACAAGTACCACAGAAGACAGCCCATCTTGAGCTTTTTGGTTCTTGAGGGAAATAAAAATCTGTGGAGAGAAATGTTGTATCGCTTTCTACACATTCCTTGTGGGTGTTTAGATTGAATATGCAACTACAGTTAACTGAAATACTGTTCATGGATCTTTGTATCAACCCTTAAACTTATTTATATACTGTGACAGGTTCACCAAATAAGGGTTATGTAGGGTCTTGCAAATTGCTATTTCTGCATATCAATGATTTATGGATATACAAAATATTAACCAAATATTTTATCTTCACAGAAGGTAGGGGGCATGGACATAGACATTTCTTTGGCCAAACCTCCATCAGAGAACAAGAAGAAAGAACAAAGGAAGAGGGACAATGAACGAAGACAATACATGAGAGGCTTTATGGGGTACGAATTTGATTTCTGTAGTTTCATTTAGATAATTTCTGACCCCGTTAGTTGACATGTCTCTGTTAACTTCAAGTACCATCGTAACTTTGTACTCAGAAATATGTTACATATGACAGTATTATCCATAACTTCTTTGCTATACGTACACATCAGGGCTCTTCAGTATTGTGGATAACATCTTCATTATTATACATTCATAACTGCTTGCCTCTTCCTTACCTTATGTAAATGTATAGTATATAACTGTTATCCATAATACTTACATGACATGATTACATACATCTTTAAAATGCCTCGGAAAAGATGCTGTAGTGTATGAGTTGGAAACTAGTGGAATGTAAACGAAGCCACTACAAACTAGTAGTTTCTCTATTTAGACCCCCACCCCCAAATTAGTTTTGGTGCAGATTAGCAAGACCTTTCTTTTGCATACAGCAGGTTGACCAGCACCACAGAAGACAGCCCATCTTGAACGCACTGGTTTTTGATGGAAATAAAAATCTGTGGAGAGAAATGTTGCATCGCTTTCTACACATTCCTTGTGGGTGTTTAGATTGAATATGCAACTACAGTTCACATATTTATTATGTGCCCTGCCCAGACCCTTTTTTTCCTAGTACCATAGCTATGATTGTGTTTCCCCTCAGATACGACGACTTCTGGGGCCCCCCCACCGGCGGGAGAATGCCCCCACCAAGTGGGCCCCCGCGACGAGGTGGCTTCCGGCCACCACCGCCACAAGGAAGATATGGAGGTAAGCATCTACATGTGTATGTCCCTCCTTAGTTGTTCCTGTATCCTCTTTGGCTCACTTCAAATGTATGGTCTCGAAGGAACTGGTGACGTTTTGGCTGTCAAAATTGCTTGCTTTGGAAAGTTTGTGCGGCATTGTAGATGTAGTAGCATTCAAAAATGGCAGTTACGAAATTTTGTTTTTTGGCTTTTGACTGTTTTGAGTAGTAAAATTTTGTTTTGTTTGGGCGGAACCCTGTTTGAGTTGATGAGGTAGCTATGTGGTGTAGTAAATCGTAACAAAGCTCTGTGTGGGACTTGTTTCAGATCCCTACTATGAAGATTATGGTTGGTTTGACTACGATGACTACTATGGAGGCTATGGTCCCCCAGTCCCCCGAGGCCGTGGGCGTGGCGGCCCCCCTCCCCCAATGGTTAGTAAACCTGTTCTATCATCCTTACTGCCTTTACACGCGAGAATCACAGTATCAGTTCCAGATCTATATCAAAGTTGTAGAACTGGCGTTCCCTAGCTGTGTATATTAAAGATGTGACGCTATGCTGCTTCCCCGAATGGAGGGAATGGCACGATTCATATCAACAAAATTAAAAGGCAGTGAAAATCAAAATTTCAAAAATTTGCCAGAATTGGCAACCAAAAAGGAAAAAAAATATCAAAATTCCCAAAAAATATGTAACTGCCTACATTTTGGCCCAAAATTTGAAAACAAAATCGGAAAAAGAAAACCTGAACCTTCAAAATATCAAAGAGGGAGCACACATACATGTTAGGTTCATATATATATTTATAGATATATTTATATGTAGAGGCATTGTAACGTTTCATTAAGAACTGTATGGTTCTGTGTAATGGAGTACAATATTTTTAAAAAAGTAATTCGTCAAATATATGTGAACAAGTTGATGGTCTACAAATATGTGTTTGCCTTTCAGGCTATCCGTGGGCGTGGGGCCCCGCCCCGAGGCCCTTCCCGAGGTGGGCCAGGGGTTCGGGGAGGCCCTGGGCGTGGCGCCCGTGGCCGAGGCGTGGTAGGCCCCAGGGGCAGAGGAAACGCCCAACCGAAGCAGCTGAGAGGGGGAAAGAGGAAAGCAGGGATGGAGTTGCACGTGGGGCAATCAAAGAGGAGGAATCTGGATAGCTGGGGTAACCAGCCAATCCCTCAACAACCCCTAGATCAGTCAGGATATGGTGGCTACGGTGGAAATGACTCTCAGTGGTACCAGGATTCATACGGTCAAAATTGGGGCTAAAGAGGTCGACCTGCCTTCATCCTTTGTTCAAACTAAAACAAAAATTGCTGAGCAAAATTTGAAATTTTTTACTTCTGGCTGTTTCCTCACGGAATATATATGTACATATTCATCCTAACATCCCCACATTTGGAAAGAAGATCGAGCCAAAATTGGAGTTATTTTGTGCAAGAATTGGAACTTTCTCCACCTATTTACCAGCTTGATACATGGATACTTTTCAAAATCGTACGGCCTTTCAAAATCTTAAAGGTCTGGCAGCTGTTGTGATTAACAAAATTGCATAAACAGTTACCCATCGGACACACTTGAACATCAATCATGAATCACTTTAAGGTGAAGGAATTCAAATCATGGAATTTCCAAATTGTACTGGAAGCTATTTTACTCATTTGCTGTAATCATTGTCCTTTTGTGCTGGAAGACTTTTGTTTCATTAGTGCATTTATTTTATCATTCGCTGTAAGAAATAAGCCAAAATTATGGCAAATGTGTGTATTCATTTGGCTCACAACCAACTTGTCATCAAGTTCATTTCACAAACTTTGTAACTTTTCACATTTATCATTGTGGTTTGTAGTGTCTTTTTCTTTTTGGCATTTAACAGCAGCTACTTATGTAATCCAACAAAAATTAGTTAAATTGGCAAATAAAGTCATGGTTTTATGTGTAGATGTCGGAATTTCAAAATCTGTCATTTTTTTCCCCCCTCTTCACACGTGAACAAATTGTTCATAGGAAGAATGTTCACAATGAAATTTTGTAATAAAATTAGGTTTCAAAATTTGAGACCTCAAAACTATGTTGCATTTGGCTGGCTTTGACCAGTTTTTTGGTCCTTTTTGGTGAATGCAGTCAGTCCCTCACAAGTGGTGGACCTCGACAACCATGGCACCGGAGGCACAGGGACTATCAGGTAAATGGCAAGCAAGTGGATAAACAAGAACCTATAAATTCAAAAGTATTAAAGAATTGGCTATTTCATTAAAACATTTCTCCAGTTTGCTCTTGCAAATAGCTTGTTCGTTCACTGCTATCCCTGTTTTGGTGATTGGTTTGTTTGCCATGATATGCATTCACAGGGTACAGGTAAGCTTTACAGTGGAGGTGTGTGTGTGAGACTTGAAAGGAGTGAAATCATTCAGATTCTTGGTTTAACAAGGTTGGTTCCTTTGGAGCAATAAATAGCTGGTACTTAAGGACAAACTCATGCCACCGTGGAAAAGGAACCCTTGTATGTGTGTTTTACTGGACACCGATTTGATGAGTTAGTTAAATCACAAACGTTTTTGGGAACGGTAGTTTTTGCTCATCAGCTACTTCCCCAAACTAGGAATTGCTACTTGGGAAATAAATAAAATCGACCAGCGGACCCCTCCCTTAAAAAGACTGGAATATTAGATCGATTTGTTGAAAGGCTAGTGCTAGTTGGCATCCCTTTTGAAAACAGTTTCACATGTATGGGTCCATGTTTTTAGCCACCCATTCTAATGTGGACTTTTTTACCAACTAGATTCTCTTCTACAGGCTTTCAGGCTTGTGAAGTTACATTTTAAGCAGCATAGAAGAGTCCACATAACTTAAGTTTAGGTGTAACCAGCGATTTCTGTTCCAAACTGAAAATTTAAGTGATATTTATATACTCTTAACACGGACATGGCATGACTGCCTGAAGGACAAGCCTTTATCACTCTATATTGCCTTCTTGTAATGTCCAGTGTTAAGATTCGGTTTTATTGACATTAAGGATCAAGCACTTTGCTGCATTTGTAATGATGAAGATGGCATATTTTCATATGTATGCATCTTACCTGTGGCCCTATTCTTTCTACTTAAAAAAACATGCATGGAAGACGTCTTGTTGGAACAAACTAAATAATCTGATCAATATGTTTCTACACTATTTCCCAAGAATGAAACCAAACGCTCATGCTAGTTATGGGGAATGGTCACTTTGGTCATTTCCTATTAGTGGGGCTTTTATAAAGCCAGAATTACCTATTGCAGGCCTGAGTTTATTAGGTTACCTGCTAACATTTCTACATTGCATAATACATTAGTTAACAGGTAACCTACATAGAAAAGTTGTTGGTGTTAAGGGGCAGTCTGGTAGCCTAGTTGTTCAAGCGTTCGCTCATCATGCCGAAAACCTGGGTTCGATTCCCGACATGGGTTCGATGTTTGAAGCCCATTTCTAGTGTCCCCCGCCGTGATATTGCTGGAATATTGCTAAAAGCAGCGTAAAACACATTAACCCACGCACTGTTCGTGTTAATTTTGATTTTTGAAATATTGAAATAGAATATTGGAAGGATGGTAACAAATAGGCGATAGGCGACCACCCGTGAAGATAAACACTGCTGGATATTTGCGAGCAAGAACGTACCCAAAGTGGATCGTTGCCAGATGGTGTCCAAAATTACTTAATCGAGGTTGTCCAAATTTTGTCGATTTTGGAGTGGCATATTAAACCCATTTTGGCACAGTATAGAGGCAGCAATTTTAAGAAAAACGACTGAACCTTGATGAAATGTCTTGGAAATGCTTGTATGCTTGCACAATAGTTCCAAGTCGGCACCATCCACCAGGTCATATCAGATGCATATTTCCTAATATGAAAGATGTAAAGTGTCCTATGGATTTTATGGGAGCTTCAAACCGAAAATTGACAGTTTGGTCACCAAAACGACGGACTTTAGTTCAACCATATACAAGATTATTTTCTCGAAGATTATTTTTTTTCGCCCTGATTATTTCTTGTTTGCAAAATATGGTTGATGGGAAGTATGGCCGGTGATTACTAAGGAAGTCGTATCCTCGTACATTCTCCTCAAAATTAAACAGGTTATTACTGGCCTCACTGCGAGTCAGGTTGGATTCGACAGTGTTGTCCCAAGTAACGATTAATTTCGCTTTTAGCAGTAGTTCTTCCAAACCAGAACACAAACTAGATGTTAAGACATTTATGTAACCACGTGGTATTGGCAGCATGCGACTGACTCTGCCATGAGAGTGGTGAAACGAAATACCTAACCCTATGTTCTGATGTGATTATTATACATTTGCTAGGGTTAAGGGAGCAACCATTGACAGGGGTAGGAGGCCAGGACTTCAGGCTTGTTTTACTGATATGCCACGCATTGTAAGGGGGAAACAGAATTAATGAACCCTTGTCTAGCAAGCAAGTGTCCACAAAGAACAGATGCTCAATTGTTTAATGTTTTGGTGGGGGACAATTAGGCTGGGAATTAAAAATATATCAATGCTAATCTCAAATTCCTCCCCGTCCCCTGAACAAATGGTTGCTCCCGAAGAGCCTTCACGGTCACATGTTCGGCAGCTGTTGCGTCACAGTTTGAAAGCTGAATTGATACAACACATCTTACCAATAATTTTTACTTTTGGAAAACGAGGGTTATACAAATCATCTCGCTCGAAAGAAAACTCCGCAAATGCACATGACAAAGCGAACATTTACTTCAAACGCAGGCGAACCCTCGCGAAATAAAGGGGAATGGTTTTGGTTATCCAAAACCTGTGAACCAGTTTGTTTCGATCGTACCGTTGGTACAACCAAACCAGAATTTCTTTGGGGCACAAGGCATAGTTGTCGTGTGACAGATACGTACAATGCTGTCTGTTGTTTTCTAGATAATGCAAAGACGTGGGACTTGAGCTTGTCCTCGTCAACCAGACGTCGCTGCTGCTGTTGTAACAGGACAATGGCTAAGGCGAGGAGTCCCCAGGTGAGTTTATCGCTTTTGACGTACGCTGGGCGTCATGGAGGAAAGAACTTGTACCTACCGAGGTCTCGTGCCAACTGTTGTATTGACCATATTCGTACAATAAAGGCGGCCCATTCCTGGTGTCCCCCGTCGTGGTATTGCTGGAATATTGCTAAAAGCGGCGATAAACTCTACTCCCCAAAAGGCGACAAAATAGTGGTATGATACTTTCGAGCAAACCCACCATGACATGACGCCTGGCTCCGCGTGAACTGTTTCCTTTGGTTGCTCGTTCGTCTTGGCGTTTTTGAATAAACTCGTTACAACATATAATGTGAAGCATTTGTGGTCTCTTCAAGGTTGAACCTACTTAATATGTATTCCAGGCTGTGGCAGTTTATACCTGCTGGTTTGGTTGTCGGTGATAAATGGGACCGAATCCCTTCCCCCATATATTTAACCTGATCAGGTTCTTGCCAACTCGCGTGTCGGTGGGGGAAAATTACTATTAATGGCTGGAGTGCAGTGTCAATAAAAACTGCCTTTCTGTGGAAGGTGTCCTTGACGCAAAAATATTGCAGAAAGTGTTATATTTGCAGCTTCTAAATAATTATAAATAATGAAAGAGCTTTGTCATATGTCTGAATAATCCCGGTTTTAATCCTGGGACCGAAAAGGCGATGACACATTCTTGCAAACAGCGGCTCAGCTTATGTTTTCCAATAATATATATTTTTCAATACTGATTTTATTGCTTCCTGAAATATTGCAAGAAACCAGAATCCAGATGAAACATTTACTTTCCGCTCAATTCACTGTACCCGATCGACAAGTTTCTATTTACTTGCATGCCATTTAGAAGTCGATGATGATCTGAACATGCCACATACTGCACATGAACACGCTAAAGAATGTTTTACTAACCGTGAATATCCTGGTTAGAATTGAACTTAAGCAATCCATGTTTGTCATAAGAGGTCACAGAACTCTGGTCAAGCTCTTGAGCTACCAATTCTACCCATTTTAGCTATAAAAACGGTAACGGTATTTTTCAGTGCATCATCATTTTCAGAAGCCCCCAGTCTGTTCCACTGCCCTCCTTCGTCGACTACTCTACAATTGTAATTCAAAAAGTGACGAATGTCATTTCTTTTGAAAAATAATATCCTTACATTGCACATCACAATTAATTATGTAAAAAACACAATGCGCTTTCGAATAAAGGATTTTAGTGCCAGACTTTTCCCATGTGAAAAACGTGAAGTGCGTTATAAATACACGATGGCTGTTGCTTGCGGTAAACGATCTCAGTAAGTCGGTTACAACCATCTTGAATTTTACTGACCGTGAAGAATGGCGTTATAATGTTTCTGGTCTTCAGCAACCCATGCTTGTAAAAGGCGACTAACGGGATCGGGTGGTTTGGCTGGCTGACTAAGATGATGCATGTCATTGTATCCTAATAACGTGGATCGATGCCTTATCACTGGATTGTCTGGTCCAGACTCGATTATATACAGACCGCCGTCATATAGCTGGACTATTGTGGGGAATGCCCGAGTAACTCTCCATTCCTCAAAAATAATGGAGCCGGGGCCGAGGCCCATTATTTTTAAGGAATGGAGAGTTACGAGGATATTCCTCTACTTAACACATCCCTACTTTTTACACTTTGACAAAATATTCTGTAGTTGAAAATATTTGAAAAATTACAATGCTGCTTCAAGATAATGTACAGTTAACAAACAACTCTCCATTCCTGAAAAATAATGGAGCGTTCAAACAATAGAATGACGTCACAGATGTGTTTTCAATTAAATTATGCGTCGTTCGAATCCAAGCCACGTGATATTTACGTCAATTTGTTAACTTGAATGGCTGTTCAAGTCACGTCGATAACTCTTGGTTTCGTAACCTAAGTCCATGACGAGTCGGTACGTAGAATAACTCTGAAACAAGTAGCGGCGATAGGGTTAAAGCGTTTGTTCATCACGCGGAAGGCCCCGGTAAACATGGGTACAATATGTGAAGCCAATTTCTAATTCTCAGTGGTATTTGAAACGGGGGGCGGTCGGGTAGCCTAGTGGTTAAAGCGTTCGCGCTTAACGTCGAAGAGCCGGGTTCTATTCCCGACATGGGTGAAGCCCATTTCTGATGTCCCACGCCGTGATATTGCTGGAATATTGCTAAAAACGGCGTAAAACCATACTCACTCACTATTTGAAACGGCAGGCAATGTGACCCGACTGTACAATGTGGGGCCGCGACGAGATCAGGTCTACGTGCATTATTCGAGTTCAGTTTTGGATTGTGCGGGAAAGTATCTGTTATGATTGATTGGTTGGTTGGTTTATTGTTTAACGCCGCAATATTCCAGCTGCACGACGACGGTCTGTAAATAATCGAGTCTGGACCAGACAGTCCAGTGATTTACATCATGAGAATCGATCCACGCAATTGGGATCGATGACATGCTTCAACCAAGTCAGCGAGCCTGACCACCCGATATTTAGGCGGAGCAGAAGTACGATAAACAACGTTACATTTTACCAAATCCCCCATTCTCAATGTATTTTTTTAATACAAATAAAGGATAGCTACATGAGAAGTTCAATTATAAAACTATCGTATCTTCTCTTTGTCAAAACCCATATAACCATCCCGAAAAGACTTAAAAACCCTTTATTCGTTTCCGAAACTTCGAAAATAACGATAGTGTTTACAAAATCACCATTCTTTTCGCGTCTGCCGAGTTCATCTTGTATATTTTACACAGCTACAAAACGTACATCCTTGAATTCATCATACCATTAACAATTGAGAAACTGTCTAAGTACCAAAACTTCTATTGAATGTGGAACCAAACCCTGTTCTCTGAAACCTACCAGTAGGCCTACTCGTTTGAAAATGTAAACAAATCTGTCAACATGTTTACATTTTCTACTATTTCGAGAGATTGAAGTCGTCAGTTTGTGCAAACATCAGCTGAGATAATTGCGAATATGCACGGGACGATAATCGTTGCAAGATATTTTGACAATGATTTGGAAAAGTCAAAATCGTTCTATTGGGGTGATTATCAGAAAAGGCCCAAGGAAACGCAAATGCATTTTGATTTGCATGGAAAGTATTCAGGATTTTGTACCATGACCGTTAAGGTGCGTTTTGACATCCCTTACAATCCATATTTGTGACACATTTTGGCCGCCAAATTTAATTTTGTATAGACTAATGCCAGAGATGCCTCCAAACTTCCACTGATATATTTCAATGGGACTCGTTTCTTTTGCGGTTCAGTACATATAATATCCAGGTGCTTTGCTGAAATTGCGGTGAAAAAAGTCTGGCAGTTGTCATGCCCCATTGAGTTTTTGTTTGTTGTTCAGCGCTGCACTCAGGCGCCATACAGCTGGAATATTGCTATCTGTAAATAATCGAGTCTAGACATGAGCATGGATCTACGCATATGGGATACGATGACATGCATCAACCGACTCGTGAAGATCTGGGGTAGAATAGGTCTTCAGCAACCCATGGTTGCCGTAAAGGGCGACTAACGGGATCGGGTGGTCAGACACGCTGACTTGGTTGATGCATGTCATCGTATCCCAATTGCGTGGATCGATGCTCATGATGTCCATCACTGGATTGTCTGGTCCAGACTCGATTATTCACAAACCGCCGTCTTATAGCGGGACTATTGCTGAGTGCGGCGTTAAACAACAAACAAACAAACAAAACATGCATCAGCCAATTCAGCGAGCCTGACCACCCGATTCCGTTTGTCGCCACTTACGACAAGCATGGGTTACTGAAGACCAGTTCTAAACCGGATCTTAACGGGTTGTGATTTATAGAGGACATGAACACGAATATAATGTTTTATTTATTACCGAAGAAGATGCCGACACACAGAAACGAACTTTAGTGTTTACCTCTGAGGACAGCAAGTCGCAACAACAGGAAAGGATCGAAATAGGTGACGGACACTTACGAAGGTTACGGGTTGGCATGGTGTCTCGTGACTTTAGTCTACGGACACATACGAATGATCCCGATGCCATTTGGCACACTCGTCTCATTTCGTAATCTACAAGATACAGAGAGGTGAGGAATGAGCTGATATGGCTCGAACTGAAAACGGCTCCAGACGTCGGAAGCCGAACTCGCGAGTACGCATGAATGACGTGGTATATAATAATTCGTCGGGTGATATTTGTGACAGAAGAGTGTGGTAGGGAACACTAAGGATGATGTGGATAATAGTAAGGAACGAGGGAGGAATAAGCATGGCTAGTGACGACACAATGGCTAGTTCGCTTTTGAATCAACTGAAAAAAAGTAGCCGGTGAAAGTGGCTTTTGTGAATGTTCCAGGAGTGAGAACGGTTTCCAGTAGCTCTTTCTGACTGTAGATCAAATTTATGTCATGTAAAGATATCAGGGCATTAAGGGGCTAAAACAAGGACTGGTCGGTATACTGTGTCTGAGTGGGATATTCATGTTCAACTGCGGCATGGTATCTCAGTGAGCTAGCACTATAAATCGGCATCAGTCCGGACTAGTACAAGCAGCAACACACACATACACGTGCATGCACGTCGCTATATAAGTGCAATAATCTTGGACGCGACGTTAACCCCCTGGATGCCATTTGGACATATATGTCCCTACACAAAACGCAGTTGCTGTGCCAGAGGGACATATATGTCCTTCTGAAACATCATGTTAAAAGAATTGAAATAAAATATTTTTGGATTACCCCAAGCCCATAGCAATTGCAACATCGCAAAAAGCAGTAAATTTCCATCACATCTGTGTAATTTTCACAACTCTACTGTCAATAAATAACGCATATGGAGTTAGTCAAATTCCCCTTGTTTACACTTTCGTTCAAATGTGCCGCCATTGAAATATTTTTTCATTTCGAACAAATTGCACCGACTGATTGAAAATCCATATGCGAAGGAATGTTTGAAACCTTCATAAATATTTTGGTTAAAAGATTGAAAATAGTCAAATATCTACGCATCTATGTATTAATTAGCTAATGAAACCAACTAAATGCCCAGTTTATCGATGGTGAATGGAGTGTATATATTTTTTTTACAGTATTTGTTCAAGGCCTCGTTCATCACATTTATATCAAAGCGTATTCAAAAACATTCATACAGTTATACATACCTACTGACATCTTTTAAAAACAGTCTGTGTGAAAATGTGCCACTTCTCATATTCATACGTATACTTAGAAATTCCATTCATGCTTCCTAAACCTCAAATTCTGCAAAAACACAGAAAAGGTACCGCAACTTTTTAGCCGAAACTTAAAACAAAATGGCGACCGAAGTTGAAGGTCGCTTAGCGGTACTTTTCATGAGAGAAAACAAGTCGAAAGCATGTCTCCCAGAAGAAACGAAAACGCACATGGTAAACTTTGACACACCCTCTTTGGTCTGTGTTGTTCATGTTTTGTGACTGATTATATGTAAGTCACGTTTTCGTATGTTTAATGAGGCGACCCAATTTATTACAAGACGTTGAAAAGTAGGTTGGTAGCAACGGCATATAGGATCTTATGCAGTGTCGAATATATTTATAATTTATTGGTTATATAAGTATATAAACAAGAACTATATGATGTTGAATTATGAACGTGTAAATGTCAGTTAAAATTACTTGAATACCGGTCCCCGATGAATCTATATATTTATTATTAGTTCGTATGTCTAAATATAAATAGCTAGCTCTTTGACAGTAGAATTCATTACTAAATTATTAATAATCTTTCGTTTAATTTCAGTATGTAAATTTTGTATTCATGCGGTTTGTTATTGTTAAATACCTTATTATTATTGCAAGACTAAGTTTTTTTATTTCACGAATACAAATGAAGCTGTTACGGTTATCGACAGTTGGTTTCAATCATCCACCATAACGGGGTTGGCAAGAGCGGCAAATTTCCGATTGTTCGTCTGGAACGAAATACCGTGACCCGCGACCTTTGACATGCCACGTCACAGAGGTTACAGGTGCCCGAGTAAAACAAAATAAAATTTGATGTTGAAATCACCAACAGTGTTAAATATGACATCCAATGTAAATATTTATACATTATATGCTTTAATCTTTATCTTCGTGCTTTGTTTATCGAATCAGCGCGATGAACACAAATCAAATATAAAAAAACCGTTCGCCTCCCGCCGAGAGCATGAATATTCATAGGGATAAAAATAGCCCCATGTGACAGACGACAACATTGCGATCGAAGCTGTCCACCAAGAAGGAATAATGTCTGCGGTGGGAATTGGCGACGACGATGATTTGGGGGAGTCGGACTTCGAGTCGGACATATCCGTCGATTCTCTCGATTCCGACTCCGAGTCCGACTCCCAGGAAGAGATAAGCGGTAAGTAACATTAATTCATTTTCAGTAAATTGAGTAGGTGTACTGTCAGTGTCAAAGCAATGGCGGGAATAAGAATTTGTTATTTTTTTTTAGCAATTTTCCAAATTGTAGGCTAGATCTACTCGTGACAGTTGTGATGTTTAAAATGTTAAAAATATCTACCATACCATGATAGTCATAGTAGAAACAGCAAACTACCTTGTTAAGTATTTCATGAAATTGATTTGAAAGAAAGTCTCTCATGGTAGTGAAGTTTTAACATGTCTACATGTGGCCTACACATGCTTTTGGTAAAGCTCAGTAATATTAATGGAAAAATGTCTTTGTTAAAAATTAAATTTATCTTGAAGGACACACTAGTTCACACTTTGGACATGAAGCCATATTTTTAAATGAGTATAGTGAGTCATTCCTAAAAAATCTAAAATGTCTAACTTATTTTGAAATTTTAAAAATAAATGAATATGTTTCATAATTTTAAATGTTAAAAATATATCTAAATGATGTAGATTAACATTTACTATAACTTACTAAGGGGAAAGGGGAGTGGCATTGCACCAAGTGACTGTTGTCCTTGTGCCAATGGGTTGGGGGGTCAGCGCACTGAACAAATGTTCCCTCACCCGGAGACGTGGAAGCTATGGCCAATTTTTTTTTTTAAATTTAGCATCATTGTAAAGCTTTTGATTTTAGTTCTCACCCTGGAAATGTTTGCATCATGATTACACAATTGTTTCCCTGTGACTACTCAAGGAAGCCCTTCAGTTTTCATTAATACATTCATGTGGAGCACATATATCCTAATCTTATCTTTATTTTGTAGTAATGAAGAATAAGTCTTTCAACATGTTTAATCTGTACCCAACTAAAAAGGTCACAGGTTATACATATTAATTACAAGCAAAATATTAGCCTTGACGAAAATAAAGTTGCCACATGAATATTGATACTGTGTTGTAAAATATTCACTAGATCTACAGGGTCTGAAACATTTCCTTCAATAAACTAAATATATGTCTATAGGTCTATATGTATATATATATATGTGATATATTTATATCTTTATTTAAATTTAAGATTGATAACAAACATAAAATAAATTGGAGAAATGACAAACTTCCATGAAGCAATTTGCAAAAAGTATGTATCCAAGGGAGATATTATAGGACATAAACAAATCACATTATCTCCCCTTGATCACCAAGAAAACATGAGTCAGCAGTTGCTTAGTTCCAATTATGATAAGAAACATCCATGAAAATTTGCAAATTCAGCGATAGAAACTGACATTTTAGTCCACTAGTCCATATATTATAATGATGAGTATAACAAAACCCTATAAAATTGGCAAATGTCTACTAGTCCTTATGATACCTTAACTATTAGACTGTTTTGCAAATATATAATCAGGACAATGACATGGAAATTAATACCAGCTCACTTATCTGTAGACAAATTTCCAAATCTTCCCATTGTTTTAACAGTACAATGGAATTTTACCCTGTCTTGTAAAGTATTTTAGTTCCAACCCTTCATTTTGATTTCGGTGTTAAGCATCACATAAAAAAATACTAAAGAGGCAAACAAATAAACAAAGCTAACCATGTCCTCACTATTGTGATTGCATTAATTTATCTGCAACCTCTTAATTCTTATGCTTTAATTTTCCACCATGTCATTATTCAAAATTATTTGAAAAGCTTTTAAATTTCATGATATTTGAATTTTGATAATACAGTTTTACTCTGTCCAGGATATGGTCTGTGAAGTGGAATGATTCATACATGCTTTTTCCATGCTCCTATGTTATTTGAATGCATTGACACACTACACATATCTATCTTTTAACAAGGAATCCTTTCCCTTAGCACTTTTATATGTGATTGAAAAGGACATTATTAATAAGAAGCATTATTTCAAATTTCAGATCACGAGGAAAATAACCAAGAAGAGGCAGGGGCCAAACCAATGGTCTGTGGCCCCTGGCTGCCCGTGCTGGACACAGACAGCTTTGACCTCGGCAACAGCATTGACTTTGCCGAGGAGTGCGGCCCTGTCAACCCTCCAGGTAACAAGAATTGATAAATACAAATATCATTAAGTGCATGAATTCAAAATCAACATACACAATGCCTGTCATCCAAAACTAAGTAAGGAATTGTTTCATATTTGGTGTCTCGTTTAGGTATAAATGTGGATATAAGTTGTATGATATTAAGATTATCATTACATGTACATGTATCAAATACAATGATATATGTCAGCATGATTTATAATAATTCATGTAATAAATTATGATATATGTTTCAGATTACCATGCCCCTCCTATATGCTATTTTGAACAGCAACTCAGAGGAGGGGATGGAGGTGTTGATTTGTTCGACCTTATCTTCTGAACAGCTATTTCATAATGTTTGATTTTAATGTTTCATAGTCATTTCATTTGCCTATCAGACATTCCTGAACACCCATGGTAGAACGACCTCCCGTCTGGACTTCCACATGTCCCTTCTCCACTCACTCGTCGGGAACACTCAGGTGAAGAGGAGGACTGGCAGGCCCAGGACCCAGCCTCCTTCCCGACGACTGACCGGACGTCACTTCATAGAAGTGCTGCCTGAAGGGAAGAGGAAACAGTGTGTTCTCTGCAGAAAGAGACAGAGGACCTTCGATGGCTCCGCAGGAAAGGTCAGGACCTGGTGTCCTGACTGCCACATTGGTCTCTGTGCACGCTGTTTCCGTCAGTATCACACAGTTGATCACATTGCAGCAACATCACAGCGATTCATTGTAAATAGATTAAATTATATTAATGATATATATTATATATATTTACTGTAAATAGAAAATGGATTTGTGTATATATAAAAGGACATGTTGGTGCGTGAGTATGATTCAACGCCACATTTACAATATTCCAGTTAATTCGTGGCGATTCATTGTATATGGATCATTGATCTTTTGTTCACAATTATGTACTTCATGTAAATAGAGTGAGTATGATTCATGCCGCTTTCAGCAGTATTCCAGCTAAGATGCGGCCCTTTTTTTAAACTTTATTGTACATAGTTTATATATTATTCACATGTAAATACTGTCAATAAATATGTATAGATTGAGAGATTTGTACATTTGTCTTATATATCTCATTTCAACAGTTACAAGATTTGTTACTGATGATACTTTTCAAAATATTAAATAAAGTACATTAAGGACAGTAAGTATAACAGTAAGGACCTTGGAATAAGAAATAATTTTCTAAAGTCTTTCCAATTACAGCCATATGAAAGTGTGGTTGTTCCTCTGGAATATTAACAAAATATTCAAAAATGTTCATGTATGCATATGTAAGCATACTTTTTAATTATTAATTGATATATGGAAATCGATTCTCCAATGTTATCATAACCAATGACTTACATACATCTACAGAACTAAAGAAACTTTTTACTTCTAGTCCTTATTATGATAAACCCTTAAAAATTGAAAATTTCTTCTGATAAAGTTCGCTCAACAGACATAATGTAATCCATAAATTTTAGCGGTAAATGCCACGAGCAAGCGCGGACGTGAGAGAAGACAGCAAGCCGTGAACGTATTTGTTCCGGCTTGCGCAAATCTGAAATGATGCCCGTTTTTTTCGAGCGGGTAACCTGTGCCTTTTGGTGTTTACAAATTCTTCATAGATTACCTTTTTTTCAAATTCGTCAAACATTACCAGGAATACATGGTTTGATTTGTATTAAATGTCCGTTGAAATATACTTCGGATAATGGTATTCATAACAGCTAGTCTACCACATCGCCATGGAAATCATTCGTCAAAAAGTTCCCGAAAGAAAGATTAATTATCGAGATCAATTTTGATTATACTTTGAACATTTCATGACAAAAATCACATATACATCCATCTGACTGTAATAAATGTTAGCTAATACAGTTCCTTTGGGTTTGTGATCAGTGGATCCATGTCTTTAATACTGCTTGATGGTCACTCAGTGGCTGCTGATGTAAGCAGGGACGGAGATGGAAATCGGGAAAATATGACCAGATCGCAACGTTTGAATCTTTGATGAATCAATGCGTTTATCATCTCCAAATTACGACAGATTTCAGACCATCACTAGAACACTAAGCTTTGCTTACAGAATGATGTTCAAATGTACTTACTATCTCGGTTGCTGTCAAAGATGTTATAGTAAATCCAAAATCCCAAACACCGCTGAACACGGTCGACGACATTTTGAAATATTCAAAACTAAAGCTGTCGACAACACAAAAGGCATTTTCGTATTGTTTCTACTTCATGTGATTTTTTTATATTGTTTTGTGTTTGTATAATCGTTATTAGTTAAAAATGAAAATAAAACAACGTTATTAAGGATTCATAAAGATACGAGACTAACTCGTTCAATCGTCAGTATGCAAATTTCGTCGACGTGCAAATGGACATGTCCGCCATCGCCTGGTAGGAGTATTTACAGTGAACTGATTGACATGAGCCGTGAGGAATACCTTTCGGTGCAAGAAAAGTAAAAATATGCCATGCATAAGGGCATGTTCTTTGCAGATTACATAGTATGATTTTCTTACTAAAAAATGAATAATGACCGAAAAGAAAAATAATTTATTGCAATGAAGAAAACACAACACCGCGTATAAGTTTTAGTTTGAAATGCGATTTCGTTCTCTTCTTTCTAAAAGTACGTAATTTTGAATTTCATAGCTAAGGTTACACGTTACAATTTATATCAGCATGTAGGTAATAAACCACAGATTTTAGGGATAAGATTTTATTCCTTACTCATAAATAGTTTTTTCATTAATATGCTTTTTCCGACATGATATGCAAACGATAACGTTACAATTTCACTATTTTAAGGACAAAATGGCGTCACACATATTTGAACAAATTCGTAATCGACGATTTCGCGGACGATTTTCCACGGAAATGTTTCATTTTCAACACGGTAATCTGGAAACAAACGGGCTTTCGCATAATGTTTTTGGTTTTTATATTGGTGGAGATTTACAACCTGACAAGACGCTCAAAGTATCCAGTGCGCAATGTCAACAAAACAGCCGCCATGGACATTTTGTAGAAAATCGCATATTCAATACGTTTGCCGAGCTATAAACTACTGTTAATCACGTTAATGCTTTACAATATTTACATAGACAGTTAGGGAAATGGTTGTGCTGTTCTAGTGTGAAATTTGAAAATTGTGGGTTTTATCGTTGTTACGTTACGTCGTTTTTAGACGAAAGTGTGCAGTTTCCACAACGTCACTCGCAAATAAACTCGGCACAGCGATAGTACACAGGCTATTTTTAGGTGGCAGCCAGAGGGTTAACCCCCTGGATGCCAGAGGGACATATATGTCCTTCCTCTACAACCCTCACTTTGAAGTCGAATAAAATTCAAAATACATCACCCACACAAATACACTTCACAGTTTTGAATAAGGTGGGAAATTACCTGTTCTGTGATATCATCCACTGGCATTTTAGGCCAAGCAAAATTACTGAAAATGACCTCTGAAAATTAGGTACATCGTAAATGTCGCCATTTTTTACACATTACTAAATCACCTCTCACGGCGTTATTGACAGCATGTTTTGAAATCTAAATTTAGGATATTTACTGGGAGAAATGAATTTCCAAAATAGGATATTAGTGATCACGGGTATCTGTCTTTTATGAAATCACCAATGATCATTCCAAAACGTCTCCGATAACCCGAGAATCGTTTCGAATGTTTTGGAAAATACGAAAACACGAACGCCGAAGTGAACTTTCCGCCATATTGGATAGTGTTTACAAAATCACGTTTCAGGTACACCGGTTATGAGGCGCCTGTAACATCGCGTATATTTCAAACTTAGCTGCGATACACACATCCTTGAATTCCTCATACATTTTAGAATCAAATGACCAATGGTCTTTGTCACCAATACAAAGTGGCTGGATGAAATCAAGCAAAATATGTTAGGTGTGAAAACGAACGCTGTGCTCGAAAAACTGCACTTGTTTGAAATGTAAACAAAGCAAAAAACAGACTTTACACAGTGTAGCATTTTCTCCTATTTTGAGCTATCCATTCGTCTATTCTTTCAAGATATTGGCTCAACATTTTCAGAATATGCACGGGAAGAGAGTAGTAGGAAACATTAGGGAATTTAAAATAGATACACTGCAATGATTTGATATTTTCAACAGAAATTGTCAAAGTTACCGTCCTGTGTGACGCCATGACTGACGCAAAATCACGCACAACGACAACGGTATTTATCGGAATTTCTGACTATTTCGGTTTTTTTCAATGAAAATTATAACAACAAATAACAGTACATAGATTGTCAGAATGTTTCTGATTACTTACATGTCATATTTATGTATATGCGATCCCTGAATCAACGAAAGTCCCCTCGTAAAATCCCGCGTACTGTTGACAGTGAACACGCCATTTTGTAAAAGTGGGTCACAGGTAGTGATGTCATACGTCAACATTGTTGTACATATTTGGTAATTCCTTTGAGGTGAAGGTCCTTGAATGAGAGTGCACACGATCATTGTATCATGCTGTTTACAGTTTAAGTTATGATGTAGATTTTGCATATGTTTTTATACTTTTTTTCACAGAATTAATTTCCCTTTGGATATTTGTCAATGTTCAAAATGATATCATACGCAAATATAAGCCACAACATGAATGAAGGAACCTTTGATAATCTCCTGTTTGTTTGAACATTATTTACATAACAATTGATAGGTTTTTAGTGTCGAATGCGATATTTCTTTCCTTTGGACAAGTGTTACAAGATGAAGCGTAAAGGTAACTGCAGCATGTACGTATTTCTTGGGATGTGTAATAGTCAATATTATAAGTTCATATAACCAATGTCTTTGAATAGCTGTTTCATTTTATTTTATAACTAAAACTGAATAGATCTATATTACTTTAACAAAATGGATAATATTTTTCGTAAAAAGATATGCACACATTTCTGAAAGAATTTTCTTGGTCTTGGAATTGTTTTTGTTTTTTGTTTTTTTGTCATTTGATACACAGAGCCGTGATATCTAACGATTCGCCAGGTGCGTATACGTGTTAGCCGCAAACAATTTACGAATTATTCCTCTCGTTTTGCATTATATAATCAATGGGTTCATTCTTTTTTTAATGTTGTGATCACAGGATATTAAACTGTTCACTTTATTTCTCCAGGAATTGTAAAATGTATAAAAATATAACCCATGCCAAGTTACCTAGCTAGCTGTTGGTTCAACCGTATACGATTATCCTGACAATTTTATACCAATAGAGCTTTCTTCGCATCTTTTAGTGTGTAATTCTGAGACGAGATGAAGAGAAATAATAACAATATCTGTCCAATATTGAATATAATTTGGTTGTTTTGAAATATTCTTTTTGGTATTTCATTGCGTAAATTGATGCCAAACAGGTGCGTGTCTTGTCCAATTAAGGCACATGATAAACTAGCTAATTGTTTACATATTCAAGACATTATTTAATTGGTGAAAACAGTCATTTTATGTTGTGTCGAAAAAGCGTCATATTCCGTTTTACACATCGAGATTTTCCATATCATGAACGAAAATTAGGGGAGATATATAATAATCAAAATACCAGTGTCGTCTTTCTCCGACGTTATGAAAGACATAAAACCAGCCATGACGTCAAATAGAACGGTGTTATTTTTTTGGATATTTCATTACATTTGATGATAAGGCTAGTGCTCCATTAATAATGGTGCAACATTAGTCAAATTACATTTACACATTCAAGAGAATGTTTGAATCTAAGGACTAAGTTATAGGTTAGATAGGGCCCTCCATTTCTCTATTACCTCTTTTTTATGAAGCACGATTTCATCATTTCTTATGGGTTTTTTTTACTACTAAACGTATACAGTTTCTTTATCGATATTTGTGTTGGAATAGTTTGGTTCCTCGTGAACAAAACACCACGAAAATATATTGTCCTTACCCACAGCTAATTCTCACCAAGTGACCTGAGTTACAATAAACTAGTGCTGAACATAGCGGAGTTATGCCCCTTTTTCTTTGTACGTGTGTAACCTCTCTGTCGCCTTTTGACGTCATAGAGAAAAATCAGTTTTCGTCATTTACGGCAAGCTATTTTTGGCATTTCATGTTTGTCGTTATACATACGCATATAACTCCATTTGGTATATAGTTATGTCGTTCAGATATTAGTCAGTATTTTGTTCGCTCACAGATTCCGTAAAGCATGTAAATAAAAAAAATCGTCGCACAGTACTTTTATCGGTGTACGATAAAAAGCGGAGAAATTTACTGTTTGTCAAGGCAGAAAAAAATCTCGGGCAACACTTAGAAGTGTATTTTTTTAAAACCGGTTCATTATTTGCAGTTAACTTTACACCATCAAATAGGATATTTAATATTCTCCACCTCTGCGTAATTTTATAGCCAGAGGTAGATCCAGTGCCGCGTGAGCGCAATTCTCGCACAACCTTCACTTTTCCGATCTTTGGAAAATGTGCGTCAGAAAAAAAACTCGGCATCCAGAGGGTTAAACCCAATTTCACCTCACCTCACCTAACCCTAATGATCGTAAAAGGGGATCCAAGGGCTAAGGAAAGAGTCCGGGGTAACGTACCCTAACACTGGCGACATTATGATGTGTTCATCACCAATATTATATCCCTAATATACTGCATTCTTGTGCATACTGAAAATTAATGATCCGAAAAAATATGTATATTAGTTCTCATTTATAACCATTTTATCCACTTGAATTACGAGAAAAACGAAATAAAAATTGTATTAAAAAATAAAAGTGATTTCGTAAACTAGCGCTTGCTCTAAAATG